CTGAATGTATACTGAACATTTTTTTGCATATGTTAATGTCTTCTATTGGAGGCAGAACATATTTCATCCATTTGACCTTGTCCATTCAGACTGTATGCCATAGGAACACAGGCAGCTGCCTTACACCAAGTCAGACTATTGAACTACTTAGCTCAGCATTGCCTTCACTAACTGGCAACAGCTCTCCAGGGGTTCCAGGCAAGAATATTCCCCTGCCCTATCAAGAAAAGCCACAGATCAAACCTGGAACCTTTTGCTCTCAAAACACCGAGCTTCTCACTTATCAACAGTTTTGAAAAGCCTGGGATTTTGTGATGTACTAGCCCTGCATAGTTTCCTTAAAATATGTATAGTGTGTGTGGGGAAATGAAACAGGTGTCTTTAAGGACTAGAATCTGTTTCCAGCTGGCTCGCCCCATTCATCTTCCTCTCAAAATATCACCACCACCTGCCAGAATCGTGAGCTCAGCCACATTCATCTTAATGCCAGATAGAAATATTTTTAAAGAAAATCCCCTGGATGAAAAGGACAAATCTAATCACTTAATGAGTACTCTAAATTTTGTTGTGCACCCATTGTAACCAAGCAGGTTAAGGCATAATAATCTCATTAACCTCACTTTGTTAAAACATCAATTATCTAAGTACAGTATAGCAGGTTTCTTCAAATGTCTCTGTGCAGGAAAGATGGCAGCAGTTGCAGCCCAGTGTGACTGTGGGTGGGTCAAGGGGTGGGGCAAAGATTTCCCGTGCAACCAGCTGGTGGCAACATCAGCCTTGGCTGGCCATGGGGAACATCAGGACTTCAAAATTTGAACTGGCCAGTCACTGCCAAGCTAGGGGACTGTAGTGTGTGGCAGACCTAACTGAAGCCTGGCTTCACTCAGGTCAGCTTGGCAATTGTCAACAGATGTCCCACTCATTCACCCTGCATGTTTTGGCCCCGCCCAAAAGAAAGTGGGCAGTGCATGTAAAAGGTAAAAAAAGAAGGTAAAGGACCCCTGGACGGTTAAGTCCTATCAAAGGTAACTATGGGGTTGTGGCACTCATCTCGCTTTCAGGCTAAGGGAGCCAGCATTTGATCACAGGTAGCTTTCTTTATCATGTGGCCAGCATGACTAAACCGCTTCTGGCACAATGGAATACTGTGACGGAAACCAGAGCGCACGTTTACCTTCCCGCCACAGTGGTACATATTTATCTACTTGCACTCATATGCTTTCAAACTGCCGGGTTGGCAGGAGCTGGGACAGAGCAATGGGAGCTCACCCCATTGCACAGATTCGAACTGCCAACCTTCCGATCGGCAAGCCCAAGAGGCTCAGTGGTTTAGACCACAGCACCACCTGTGTCCCTTTACCTTAGTGTATGTACATGACCTTGCTGTGGGGTTTGTCACCGTATTTGGAACCATGGAGGAATTTGCCTGCAGACAAATTGGACCAGCTTGGAGGTTCTGCCTACCTCACAGCTACTGTCACAAGTTGCCAGAGGAAAATTCTATTAGGTTGGATCCTTAGTCTAAACAGAGAGAGAGTGGGAAGGAGCCCGGCCCTTCTATTCACAATCAAAATATCAAGGTAAAGAAGTCCAAGGGGAAAGATTCTGTCCAAATGCCCAGAGAGGGGGCTCATTACTACTCAAATGTCACCCTGGAGGGATCACCCATATTTGATGTGTTTCATATGGGACCAGCAACACCCGTCTTATGTCAGAATATATTCTTTTCCAAACATTTTAATTCTTGTGGAAATAATAATATATTACACCGCTGGTGCCTCTTGACCAGCATTTTCAGCTTGCCCACACTGCTTATGACAACTTGAACAGCGGCAAGCATGTTATGGAAAAATTGTGACTGATGTTGCCTGACAGGATTTGTTTTTGCTTATTTGCATGAGTTGCTTGAAGGATAATAATTTGCCCACCTTAATAGGGGATGCTGTGGAACTAACATGCTTGAATGTCAGAGGAAAATAAATTCTGTTTGCTATCAGTGTTTTCATACGAACACAATGGGAAAATGTATCCATGTTGCACTAATGGTGTTCTTTTTGCACTCAAATAATTATTCCCCCTCAAAAAAGCCTTAATTACAGCAGGAAAATAATGACCCTTAAGCACTTTGGTTCATTTCTGTAGCCACCCTGTTTGCTGTCACAGATCACACAACAGGCATGAGTAAGAAGCTGCTAAATTGCTTGATGGATATAAGCAAGCAGTTATTCCATTGTGTTAAGTTTTCAAAGCATCATACTTAGGCCTCACCTGCTCTATATATTTAAAGCAGTATCATAGGTCTTTAAACAGTCATGACTTCCCCAAAGAATCCTGGGAACTCTAGTTTGTTAAGGATGCTTAGAGTTATTAGGAAGCCCCATATTCCTCTCACAAAGCTACAGCTTTTTCAGAGTGATTTAAGAGTTGATCCCCCTTCCCAAGGAACTTTGGGAATTGTAGCTCTGTGAGAGGAATAGGGATCTCTTAACACCTCCCAGGGCCCTTAACAAACTACAGTTCCTAGGGCTTTTTGAGGTATGATGCTTCTTTAAATGCAGACAAGTGCAGACAAGGCCTAGGGCTGAGGAGCCCAAGGTTCAAATCCCCACTTAATGATGAAGCAAAAATGATCCATGTGGATTAGAGAAAAGGAAAATAGAAAAGGGAGCTCTTCCTGTCTCCTAAGATCTGCACGCTTTCAGGAAAGGTGTTGTTAGTATAGGGGGAGGAAAGCTGTAAGGAAGCATCCAGAGAAAGACAGGCAGGCAGACAGAAGCCTCACTCCCCCCCCCCAAAAAAACACCACAATTCTACTTCTTTGTGTGTTTCCCTAACATAAAACCTTCCTCATTTCAAATCTCCAACCACACTGCTTGGTTTTCTCTGATATCTATGCTGAATCACATTACTCCTCATTAAAAATTAGGCCTTTATTATGACTTACATAACGATTCTGAGCCTTCTTTGTTCCTTTTCCTTTAATTTTCATGATTGAATCCTTCTGCTTCCCTTATCAAAACTAGGTCAAAAATTATAGCCAAGCCAGGAAGAGCCACCTTGAAACCATTTGGTTTTGGCTTAGATAGGTTGCAAATTAACTTTCCTCCTTTTTCAGCTTCTCTAATGCTGCAAAGTAAAATCCTACTACGGGGAAAATATATTATTTAAAGGAAACATTATATTCTAATTTTGCAAGCATACTTTTGGGACATTAAAAAAAAATGGGCCACCCAGCCCCCTCTCTCTTGAAGTCAAAGCTCCCACAGTGGGACCATGCAATGTCAACCTTTCAGCAACAAACTTACAAGAGAATAAAAAGGGGGGAAATAGAGAGAAGTGTTGTATTTTAACTTAAAACAGCCAAAAATTTATCTGGACCTACTTGCTTAACTCTGAAATTATACATTGATTAAAAGTGGTGTCCTTTCACTCTAAGAGATTCATGTTCACATTTGAGTTTAACGCAAAGGCACACACTTGAGTATTGGACATCAGGGAAAGACATCATTCTGCTCAACCTTGAAGTGCCCAGTTCATATTTTAGATTCTCTCCCCCCCCCACACACACACACTTTCACTCAGTCTTTCCTAGTTTATAATTGGAACACTTTTCCATGAACAGCTGCTCCTCATTTTAATCAAAGAGAAACATAGGTAGCTCTGAACTCTGATCAGGGAACACGTATATTCAGAAGTTACCCAAAGATATCAATGGACCAAGATAATAAGCTTTCATTCCCAATTAACCAAAACTTCTGTGTTGTTCCAGCACAGGCTTCAGTGGGTCATGGGGATAAATTCTCTTTTCCCTGCTTTTAATGAGAAGAGGAAGTAACCAGATTTCTCTTGCCTAGAGGGTTCCTTTGGTCCTGCTGTCAGAGAGCTGTCAACCATCCAGATGCCCATTTTCATGGGCCCATTGGGGCCCATTGTGGTGTTTATATCAAAGTTTGGAAGGAAGAATAATCTCTGTAATCATAATGACCACCCTGGGTTCCTGAAATCAAAGTTTGGCTCATGCAATAAGCAGATCTGCTCCTTTTGTACAGTACCTCAGAACCCAGAAAATAAGTCCAGAAAAGGCATAACTAAGAGTAATGTATTCTGTCTTCATTTATTTCAAAATATGGCAAGTTAGCAGAGTTAGCCCAAGACATTTTTCTTCCTGAGGCAAAGGATGAGATGGCTCCAACCAGGCTGGCAAGTGAATCTTACTTCAGTACCGGCAATGGGATAGCATCCTCTTCCACACCTGAGAGTATTCAGCTCACTTAGGTGGGACAGGGCATGCACAGATTTGTCCTTCATCACTTTACCATCACTCCCTGTCCCTTAGCAATTTCTGCCTGAGGCAACTGCCTCACTCATCTTAATGAGAGGGCTGGCCTTGTAAAACATCCTGCTGTGTTGAGTGCCCTCCAGCTTACACTGCTTAGTGGTACCTTGGACTTCATCCCCAAAGTCTAGGCCTGGGCACTGGACAAATTTGAGTCAAGATCAAGGGGTCAAAAGAGTGTCAACTGGAAGAGAGTTTATTTATGTTGTTATTACATCTTTTCCCCATCTTTCGTCCAGATGGCATACAATTTTTCCTCTAGGTAATTTCCATGGCTGAGTAGGGATTTGAACCCGGGTCTTCCACGTCCTAGTCCAGCTTTCTAACCAGAACGCCATACTGACTGTAGATGGGTAGCCGTGTTGGTCTGCCATAGTCAAAACAAAAAAAATTCCTTCCAGTAGCACCTTAAAGACCAACTAAGTTAGTTCTTGGTATGAGCTTTCGTGTGCATGCACACATACCAAGAACTAACTTAGTTGGTCTTTAAGGTGCTACTGGAAGGAATTTTTTTTGTTTTGGCCATACTGACTGTCCACAACTTTGGCTTGTACTTCACTGACCTGATTTCACCCACAGGCACACAAGCATCCTACTTGGCCAAAAGTGGAAACCATGGAGAAACTACTTCTTTGACTCTTGCTGTATTCCTTCTTTTTTGCAGGTGCGCTTGGAATGGCCAACAGACCTTGCTGTCAACCCACTTGACAATTCGTTATATGTTCTGGACAATAACATTGTGCTGCAAATTTCTCAAAATCAGCAAGTGCGCATTATTGCAGGCCGACCTATTCACTGCCAGGTGCCAGGCATAGATCACGTTTTGGTCAGCAAAGTGGCAATCCATTCAACACTTGAATCGGCAAGAGCCATAGGCGTATCTCACAGCGGAGTGCTGTACATTGCCGAGACTGATGAAAGGAAGATCAACCGCATCCAACAGGTTACAACTAATGGTGAAATCTCCATCATAGCTGGAGCTCCATCGGATTGTGACTGTAAGATTGACCCCAATTGTGACTGTTTCTCTGGTATGTATTAAACGAGGGTGCAGAATCTTTTGGTACAATGGCTGCTTTCCCTTCTGGGCAGCCTTCCAAGAGACACATCAGTGGTAGATGGAGCCAGAGGCAAAAGTTGATAGAGCAGGGAATGTAAATGTTATCTTTGTACAATACGCTAGATTCTACATACTAACTCCTCTCTGTCCTCCATCCAGGCAAACATGAAGCATTATCATAGTTCAGTGACATAGTTCTGTATATAATTTCAATAAATAAATAAATAAATAAATAAATAAATAAATATAATAGTCCAGCCAGACAAAAATACTCAGGACCTCAACTTCATGACCCAATTGCTTGATGTCATTGGGACATCAGGTGATTGCAGGTAGGCAGTCCTCCCAGATGTCGCCCACAAGGCTAGATCCTGATATGGATGTGGCCCACAGAACCAAAAAGGTCACCATCCTTGACATAGAGACTTATTTGAAGTAAGAAGTGGTATATAAATTACCTAATTCTATAATACAGAGTCAGACCCGTGGTCTATCTAGCTCATTGTTGTCTACACCGTCTGTGGAAGTGGACCTACATTTCAAGTTTTTAAAAAACGTGTTTTTTAAAAAACAAACCTGTGGGTCTTTCCTATTGCAACCTGGAGATGCTGGGGATTGAACCTGGGACCTCTGCATGCAGAGCTTATGCTCTGCCACTGAGCTGAAGACTTTTAGTTTGATGTAACAGTTTGTCCCTCTGATCTCCACAAAGAAAACAGTGCCCTCAAAAGCTTTGAAATCTGAATTTCTGAAGCAGAGGAAATCCCAAAGAATTCATAAAAGTATGTAAAAATCCTATTTCAAGCTATCATGTCTGTGCATTTTACATTTCCACATTTTCCCTTCAATCTTCATTCTGGCATCCACTGTTCACAGTTTGAATATTCAGATGGTTGGATACCATGATCCTATGGTACTGTGAGGACAGATTCATGCAATAGTAGTGCAGTCATCATCTCTGCTGTGCAATGCAATATTTCTTGCACAGGGCACTGTTGACGTGTCTCAAAACAGGTTTCAGGTCAGTATGAGCCACATTATCATATCCATAGGATTGGATTGAGCTGTGTGCAAAATGAAACAATTAGCCAGCTTGGATATTACCCTCATGCTGAAACGAATATGCCTCCTGTATGTCAGTCTAATGTTCATGCTCCAAAAACATCATTAGGAAATGGGGATGAAGAAAGGGCAGTTGATTCATTTTTGGTGGTTTAGTCAACTATTCCAGGGGTCCCCAAACTAAGGCCCACGGGCCGGGTGAGGCCCGAGGGACTCATTTATCCGGCCTGCAGCAACGCCCGCTGTCGCTGTCTGCTCTTACCGGTGCTGCGCTGCACAGCTGCCCACTTCCAGATCAGAGCAGCACCGGAAATAGCTTGTGCGCCTGCACAAGCGTTATTTGCACATGCGCAAGTGTTATTTCCGGTACACATCTGGGTCGAAGGAGGCCCGTGCACATTCACACAAGCTATTTCCGGTGCTCCTCCAACCTGGAAGTGCACCAGAAATAGCGTATGGGCACGCGCTTCTGCCGCCCTCTGGCCCACCGTGCGATCGACACTGGAGACACCAGCCCAAGGTGTGGTAAGTTTGCTTACCCCTGAACTAATCCAATAGCAGCAGGAGAGAGAGGATGTAGTTTAGAATGGGGAGCTGCAAACCATCGTGTTTCCGAAGGAGGGGAAAGAGAGTAATAAAGGGCATGTAAACAAATTTCTGTGGGAAATGGTTTACTTATCTGGATGTGTTTAGCCTAAAGAAGACTAAGAGAAGACATCGTAGTACCATTCTATTATTATTATTATTATTATTATTATTATTATTATTATTATTAGTTTTATTTATTTATTTGATTTATGTACCACTTTTATCTTCCAAGGATCTCAGTGTGGTGTATATAGTTCTCCTCCTCCCCATTTCCTCCTCATAACAACCCTGTGAGGTAGGTTAGGCTAAGAAATGATGACTCGCCCAAGATCATCCAGTAAACTTCATGGCTGAGTGGGGATTGTGAACCTCCTGCTCTCCCAGGTTCTAGTCTAACACTAACCATTATGCCACACTGCCCACTAATTACCGTATTTTTCCATGTATAAGACTAGGTTTTTCTCCTAATAAATTATGTCAAAGATTAGGGGGCATCTTATACATGGATAGTGCCAAGGCCATTTTCTTAAATCTGAGTCCCCCAAAATAGGGGGCGTCTGATACATGGGGAAATCTTATTGACGGTAAAATACAGTAATCGCTTCCCATTAGGCATCCCAAAGCATTTACAATATAACATATATAGAACAGTTACATATCTAGAAACAGTTACTTTAAAATGCTTTTATAGAATCAATAGAGAAGGTGCCACACTAAATACCATGTAGAATTCACCTCGTGATAGTACAGCATTTGCAGAATGCTCTCTCCTGCAGAACACAGTGATTACTTGTCTGTGTAGCTGGTGAGATGATTTTATAGGTAGTCTAGTCCCGCCAAAACCAGAGCCTTGAGCTTAGCCCAGTAGCTAATTGACAGCTAAAGGTAAAGGGACCCCTGACCATTCAGTCCAGTCGTGACCGACTCTGGGGTTGCGGCGCTCATCTCGCTTTATTGGCCGAGGGAGCCAGCGTACAGCTTCCGGGTCATGTGGCCAGCATGACTAAGCCGCTTCTGGCGAACCAGAGCAGCACACGGAAACGGCGTTTACCTTCCCACTGGAGTGGTACCTATTTATCTACTTGCACTTTGACGTGCTTTTGAACTGCTAGGTTGGCAGGAGCAGGGACTGAGCAACGGGAGCTCACCCCGTCGCGGGGATTCAAACCGCCGACCTTCTGATCGGCAAGTCCTAGGCTCTGTGGTTTAACCCACAGCACCACCCGCGTCCCCAATTGACAGCTAGTGCTATCTAAAAACCTGTCATATAGAAGATAAAAGAACTGGAAGCAGGAGCAATAGGCAACAGGGTAGACAAAAGAGATGTGTATTAATCCAACACATTTCAGATCCTACTGGTCATTCTTAAGAGAAATTCAGAGATATGAAGATTCAGTAATTAGTTGTGCTGCTTCTTTCCTACATGTTGAATTAATAAACAGGGAGTTCCATTATTGTAGCATTATTTATAACATAAATTAAACTTGTTCTCCGTAATTAGAACCAATGGGTAGAGAGTTTGGGGAAGCAGATTTTGGGTAAATGTGAGGAGAGGGGTCCTATCAGTACAAACTGTTTGACAGTGAAACTGTCTACCTTCGAAGGTAATAGGTTCTCCCTTGCCAGAGATATTTAACCAGAAGCTGGATAAATGTCTGCTAAGGATGCTGTAGTTTCATCCTGCTTTTCAGATCATGCATGTAAGGTGGTGTAGATTACGTGACCTACAACGTCCCTTCCAGTTCTTTGTTTCTGTGATTTTACTCATTTTTCAGGACTGCAAAATCACCTGCAAAAAGGACCATGACAAATCCCTTGTCATCTACAAAATGATGTGTCTGCTAATGGAAGTGGTAATGAAATTAGGACTGTGAGATTAACGTCACAAGAAATCCTGAGTCCTGTGTTGATGGTCATGCTGGATAGAAATGTACAGAGAGGGATTAGGATCATGCTTTTTGGCATTACATCAAAGGATGAGGGGGAAATTGATTCAATTCACATTTATATGTGAATTATACCTAATTCACATTTTCTAAAACAATGTGTGAACTGAAACACAGCCACCCTTTGAAATTTACACTTCTCTGAATTTTGCAGATCTCCAGCCAAGTAATGTTTGAATAAAATGCATATACTAGGGCAAAGTATGCATAACTAATACATATATTGATGAGAATAACATATAAAATGCATGAAGAAAAACTGCTTTGCAAAAATGTGTATTTTAGTCAAAGCCACATATTAAGCGTGCATATTAACACTAAAATGCTGACAGATTACCTGAGGAATTAATTAAATAAATAAATTGCAAGCTGATATGGAAATGTGCTCACTTTTAAGATTGGAAAGATAAGGAACTGTGAGAAAATTAAATTGACAGATATGCATATCCCTGTTTGATCTCTCTGCATTGATCATTACTTCTGCACTTAACATGCATAGACTCCAACACTGGTAAGGATCTGAATGCACAATCTGTCCTGCAAAAATGGAAGGGCACCCATTCAAAATCAGTGCAAGTATGATTCCTACCCCCACATACACACACAATGGATGTATGGATCCATCTACTCCCATACTGTGCCAGTTTTACATGCCTGTAAACACAAGTCTATTGCACCCCTTATTCCCTGGGTTCTTTTTTTAAAAAAAAACTTGAAAAATTCACTTACCAAACCCCTCCACTAAAATATGGATTCCTGAATATTTTTATATACATTCCCCATAAAATACACATTATTTGTACACATATTTTGGAACCAAAAGTGCATTGCAAAATTCAGAGAAGTGCACAGTGCAAATGTTTACATATTAATGCAGGAAGTGTAAATCCGGTTTATCTGCTTAAAAATTCAGGTCAAACAAAATTCTCCTCCATCCTTGTTCCACGTGCAAATTTCTACCTTTTTAGGGTTTCTGCACAAGTGTCCAGTCTTCATTCTACCTGGGTCCCCAATTTGTTTTTTCTCTTCCATTTCCTTATTCCAAATGATGAAGTACATAAGCATTCATGTAACAGAAGCTGTTCATCCTTGAGCATCACCTAGTGAATGGCAAATGATGTATCTCATGTCATTTTAGGCTTTATATCAAAATGAGGAAGATTAACCAGCATAAGATATTGGGTGACTAATCTTGCCTAGCATCACCATAATTTGTAGTGTGTATGTTTTACAAGAGGGACGCGGGTGGCGCTGTGGGTAAAAGCCTCAGCGCCTAGGGCTTGCCGATCGAAAGGTCGGCGGTTCGAATCCCCGCGGCGGGGTGTGCTCCCGTTGCTCGGTCCCAGCGCCTGCCAACCTAGCAGTTCGAAAGCACCTCCAGGCTGCAAGTAGATAAATAGGGACCGCTTTCTAGCGGGAAGGTAAACGGTGTTTCCGTGTGCGGCTCTGGAATCGCCAGAGCAGCAATGTCACGCTGGCCATGTGACCCGGAAGTGTCTCCGGACAGCGCTGGCCCCTGGCCTCTTGAGTGAGATGGGCGCACAACCCCAGAGTCTGTCAAGACTGGCCCGTATGGGCAGGGGTACCTTTACCTTTACCTTATGTTTTACAAGGTCTGCCTGGAGATGGGGTGGGATGCATAGTGATTCTGAACAACTTTCACATGCTTTTTGTTAAGCATGCAGATGCTGTTGTAAGAGAATCAAATTGCTAAATGATGCCACAGGAGGCTGATGGGTAGGACAAAGAAAAAATAGTTGACAACATGCATGTTTGGAGGCATATATAAGACACCTGTACCCTGAGGATGCATGATGACACAGGGCTCCCCTTTTCTTTTCTGATTATCCTCTTCTGGACCTTTTGTTTATTTTATTTAAAACATTTCTGCCCTGCCCTTCATGACTGATTACAGGACAGTTCATAACATTTCAAACAAGTTTCTAAGAAATGTAACTGATTAAAATGAAGGGGGGGCCCAAAACAGCAACAACAACAGTGCATTAGCTCATTTCCTCTAAATGCTTAGCATTAACAGTCAGCAAATGCCTGGGTGAACAAACAGATCTTTAGCAAGCATTAAAAGCTTCTCAGACTCAGTGCTTTTCTTATTACAGGGGAGGGGAGTGATTCCATAAAACTGGGTGCCACAACAGAAAGGTTGTCACAGAATGGATTTCAACTGGTTGCAGCTAGCCAGGAGGGCCTCATCTGAAGATCTCAACATGCATGTGTATGGGATCTTTGTGCTTGCTAATCGGTAGTAATGGATGGTTGGACTTGAGAGTACTGCAAACACCGAAATAAAACTTCTACTTCCTACTTGAAATAAAAGGTTCTTCTCTGATGCTAGCAGAAGGTAGCTGGTGTGGGCAACAACCACATTATTAGGTTCAAACCTTGATTTGGTGCTTTGGAAAGAACTCTCAATTTGAAATGCTTTGTAGGCTGGCCAATTTGACTTGACTTCCTTCTGAGTCCGCTTTGTTAATCTGCAGACTTGGTGGCCCCTGCATGTTGGATAAAGTCCACAAAGTTTCAGTCAGATAGGTCCAGTATTTTTGTGTGTGCTGGGCACCTGTAAATATTTTCTCCTTTTTTTTTGTTTTGTTTTAATGACATATCTCTGGCTTATTTATTTTGGGGCAGAATAAGATGCCATTTTCAGGCTAGCTTTCCCCTCCTTTCATGGGTGGGGGTGTAAAATGAATACTGCCAAATTTCAGAAGAATAAATGAAGCATTTTCCCAAGAGTATCGTGAACAGTTTTGGAGTATGTAAATAAGGAATATTCTAGTCTCCCTTTATAGTTTGTGGGCAATTGGTCTGCAGGTTGAAGAAACATCATTCCCACTTCACCTCTAACAACCTCCAAGGCATATTCCTTCAGCTCAGGATTCAGGATGTGGCTGAACCCAGTTCATACCCCTAGAAGACAGGCTATCATAAACAGATAAAATAGCCTATGAACTCATGGGAAGATAGGTCTGCCTGAAGACATAGACTTTCATCTTCCATGAGCTTCCTCAGTGGTTCAGAACCTAGGGCAAGCCATTCTTGACACAGAAGTTACTGCACCTTTATAATCTTGATGGCATTGGAAAGTTCTGGGTCTTTTCTTTCATTACATTCCTGCATTGATGGAAGAAACTGCCTTGGAGGCAGCTGCTAAATGGCCAAGCAAGTCTTAAATGTTCATCAGTGACAAAATAATTCAGTTCTGGTACAGCAAACCTAAACACAATGGGTCGGATCTAAACTTAATAGACCAATTGAAATCAATGGGACTTCAGTTAGCGATGACTAATTTAAGTCCCTTTGATTTCAGTGAGCCTGCTATAAGCTCTGATAAGTCTGTATCTATCTCCATGAGCTCGTATTTAAAACCATTTTACATATACTCTACTGGACTTTATGAAATGCAACAAACTCAGTTTTTTAGCTTATGACTGTATTCCCATTGCTTACTTCACGAATGGATTTTGATTCAAGAAGGCGTGAATTTTGCAGAGGAGAGCATATTTGTCTGTGACCTTCTTTGTGCCCTGGGAACTTGAAATGTAGTAGCTCTGCCCAGCCAACAGCACTGTGGATTTACAACTATTAGGGTAACTGAAGCATCTATATCTCCTGTGTCCGTTCTTCAACTGTGCTGATTAAGAATTGTACTTGCTTTAGATAATGGGAAACAAATCTGTTGGAGCAAAATATTGGTTTACAGTTTTAAAAATATTAAGTCGGGAGAGTTCTTATTTTTGTTTGGTTAATCATATCAGGTGCAGATTTAATAAAGTTGCTCCCTGTTGTTTTGCAGGTGATGGTGGGTTCGCTAAAGACGCAAAACTGAAAGCTCCCTCTTCCCTGGCTGTATCTCCTGACGGCACCTTGTATGTAGCTGACCTTGGCAACATCCGTATCCGTGCAGTCAGTCGGAATAAGGCTCATCTCAATGACATGAATATTTATGAGGTTGCGTCCCCAGCAGACCAGGAACTGTATCAGTTCACCAGCAATGGGACTCACTTGCACACACTCAATCTGATTACAAGGGACTTCATGTACAATTTCACATACAACGGGGAAGGCGATCTTGGCACCATTACCAACAGCAATGGGAATTCAGTTCATATTCGCAGAGATGCCAGTGGTTTGCCTCTCTGGCTGGTGATGCCTGGAGGTCAAGTATACTGGCTGACCATAAGTAGCAATGGGATTCTCAAAAGAGTTTATGCCCAGGGCTACAATCTAGCTCTCATGACTTATCCTGGCACCACAGGTCTTCTAGCCACCAAAAGCAATGAGTATGGATGGACAACAGTTTATGAGTAAGTGACCTTCAAATATTTTTAATGCCTCATCTGCACAATACATTTAAAGCCATATCATGCCACTTTAAACAGTCATGGAATCGTAGAATTGTAAAGTTGGAGGGGACCCTGAATCTAACCCCCTGTGATGATGCCTCCCCCTAAAAACAGAATCCCGGGAGGTTTAATTCATGAAGGGTGCTGAGAGTTGTTAGGGTACTATCACAGAGCTACAATTCCCAGAGATCCCTGGGAAGAAGGATTGACTGTTTAGCTACATTGGGAAGTATAGCTCTGTGTGGGGAATAGGTATAACAACTCTCATGACTTTATGAAACTTTGCAAAAGCTCATTTTGAGAGACTTATTTTTTAAATTAAATTTGTATACCACCCTTCTTCCAAAGATCACAGGGTGGTACATAACATAAAAATTCAAAATGAAAACACAAAATACATAATAAAACAAAAGCAAAGCAAGCCAATAACCCTCCTCCCAAAGGCCATAGATTCAGCCAAACTCTAGGTTGAAGATAAACTTTTTTGCTTGACGCCTTTACCCAGAGGTCTCAGGGTGGTTCACAGAATAAAATCAAAATATAAAACCACTAAATACATAATCAAAACAAAAACAACAACCCAATAAACCCGCCCCCCCCCAAAACACCACATTTGAAATGAGGGCACGAGGAGTGACTACCTGGGGAGAGCATTCCACAAATGGGGAGCCACCACAAAAAGGCCATTCTCATATTGTCACTCTCCAGAGCTCTAGTGGGGGAGACACTCAAAGAAGGGCCTCAGACAATAATCACAGGATCTGAGTCTGTTTGTATGATGAGAGGCAGTCCTTGATGTATTGTGATCTTGAGCTGTTCAAGGTACTTAAAATACTTCAGTGGCCCTCTGGAGCCTATGTGCCTGTATCTTCCTCACCACCTTTTTCATACTATAATGCAATCCCTGTTGTGACCAGGGTTGGGCAAATCAGTCTATAGTTAATAAAGGCTGGAAATTGTCCACAGGGATTGGCATATGGAGAGGCATTATGGTTAATTGATTAGAGTGTCCTGGTTCAAATCCCCACCCAGCCACTTGGGCCAGTCACTATATCTCAGCCTACCCTATCTCACACAGATAGAATGGGAGAGAAGAGCCATGTACAACACCTTGAACTGCTTGGAATAAAGCTGGGGTGTGGCTGGCTTGGATGCATTAAATCAGTCTACACATAAGAACTATGTAACTTAGCAAATAGGGACGCGGGTGGTGCTGTGGGTAAAACCTCAGTGCCTAGGACTTGCCGATCGTCAGGTCAGCGGTTCGAATCCCCGCGGCGGGGTGCGCTCCCGCTGCTCGGTCCCAGCGCCTGCCAACCTAGCAGTTCGAAAGCACCCCTGGGTGCAAGTAGATAAATAGGAACCGCTTACTAGCGGGAAGGTAAATGGCGTTTCCGTGTGCTGCGCTGGCTCGCCAGATGCAGCTTGTCACGCTGGCCACGTGACACGGAAGTGTCTGCGGACAGCGCTGGCTCCCAGCCTATAGAGTGAGATGAGCGCACAACCCTAGAATCTGTCAAGACTGGCCCGTACGGGCAGGGGTACCTTTACCTTTACCTTTAACTTAGCAATGGGGAAGCTGTTACCCTCTATATGCTATTGAACTACATTTCCCATCATCCCTGGGGATTGGCCATGCTGACTGAGGCTGATGGGAATTGAAGTGCAGTACTTTTCACATGGGTGCTTTATCATAGAATATGCATAAGAACTATAATCCCATGTCACTTTTGCATGTGTTTACCCATGATAAACACATCACATTTCTGCACTAATCTGTGTTTATAACTAAATCCACATGAACATTTGCATTTAAATATAAATTCTTAAACACATTTTCTCTCAACATACGCATTTCAAATGATATTTTCTCTCAAAGATACATTCCTAAATGTACTTCGATGTAATTTTTTTCAGTCATGCATTGAATTCAGGAATGACTGAAGCTAGCGAATTAATAAGTTCTGATTCACACATTGAGTGGTGCAGGATAGGTCATACTAGAATTTTCAGAGATCATTTTCTCCAAGCATCTTAGTTGTGGCACTGCACCACGATAAGTCGTTTAGCATTTAGTAAGAATTCACAGAATACATTTTTTCTTTCCAATCACAGTGTGTTGGATCCAAGCCAGAGTTTGGGGCCCTTATCTCTTGGAAGCTATTCTTGGATGTTTATGGGAAATGGTGGTTGAACTACCAGAAAAGCCTTATTATTATTATTATTATTATTATTATTATTATTATTATTTATATGCTGCCCATCTGACTGGGTTACCCCAGCCATTCTGGGCAGTTTCCAACAATTTAAAACACAGTAAAAAATTTCCCTATGCAGGGCTGCCTTCTAAAAGTCAGATAGTTGTTTATCTCCTTGACATCTGACAGGAGGGCATTCCATAGGGCAGGCGCCACTACCAAGAAGGCCCTCTGCCTGGTTCCCTGTAACTTCGCTTCTTGCAATGAGGGAACTGCCAGAAGGCCTTCACAGCTGGATCTCAGTGTCCAGGCTGAATGATGGGGGTGGAGATGCTCCTTCAGGTATGCAGGGCCTAAGCTGTTTAGGTCAGCACCAATACTTTGAATTGTGCCTGGAGGCAGAATCAAATTTCCGCACATAACTTCCAAACTTCCAGTGTTCGAAGGCATAGCTTTTGTGCCGAGTGTAGTTTATGCCCATCCCCCATGACTAACTAAACGAGAACATGTTACGCAAAATAGTAAAATTTGCAAGATAAGGGTTGTATCCAATGTAGTGCTTAGTTAAAGACATTTAGTGGTGTATAAACGTTGTATTGGTGGAACATTATTGCACAGGGGAAATCACAAACACATTACCAAAGATGGTTGCACAACTAATTGCGCAAACTAAATGAGCTATTGCACTACAAGCCTCCCCTAATGCAGCTGTTGCTTTGGACTAATTTGTTTCACTGCCTTTAAACTCTTCCACTACAGAACTTTCACGCTAGGTAGCAAACAGAGAAACATTGGGTGCAGTCCTAAATGTTTCACAGTGTTGAGAATTTGCAGGGTTGGTATTGGGGGAAGTTACCTAATTTTGTTTGCCTGGGTACGCTAGCATAGAACTGTGCATCTAAGAACCATTAACTGAGGCTGCGATCCTGTCCTTTTTCATCTGACAAAAAACAAAGTCCCACTGAGCTCAGCAGATCTTATTTCTGACTAGACATGCCGAGGATTCTGTCATCAGATCATGTGGATACCTTTTGTGAATAACATAAGAAAAGCCCTGCTGGATTAGTCCAGTGGCTCAGCTTTTCCAGCTTCCTGTTTTCATGGTCACCAACCAGGTGCCCCAGGAAAACCCTTAAGCAGGACATGAGCACGAGAGCGCTCTTCCCACTTGTGATTTCCAACAATTGGTGTTTAGAAGCATCCCGCCTGCAAGTGTGGTGGTATTCTTCTTCACATTTTAATGCAATTTAAAATCAACTAAAAAGATATTTAAAAGATTTAAAAACAATTTTAAACCATCTAAAAACATTTAAAGCCAACCAGTTACTAATTTCAAGGCAGGGTAAAAGAGAAATGTCTTTACATTTCTCCTGAAAGTCAATAATGGGGGAGACAGATGCCACCTTTTGAGTAGTAGGGTGATGGGGAAAACCTTGGACTGCCACTGCCCTTGAGACTACTGGATGAATAGTCTGCTCTGGCATTATTTATTTGCCTATTTCCTTTGGTTTTTGAATTGCACCCTAGCAAACATCTCCAAGTGATTAAATAATAATAAAAGAAAAACATATATACAACAATTTCATTTTCTTTTTTTTAAAAGACAGATTTGAAACCCAATACAGCTACAGACTGGTATAGAAATATTCACTTAAAATACTTGTTGAAAAAGGAAATTCTTCAATATGCATTAAAAAGGCTTATTGAGACAGTGTTTGCCTGATATGTAATTGGGGGGGGGGGGATGTTCCGAAGAGTAGGTGCTGCCACACTAAAGACCTGGTTCCTACATCATAAGGAACAGACCTCCTGGTGAGATGATATGTGCAGGATGCCTTGTCCTGAAGAGTACAGTGATCCACTAGGTATATAGAGGATGAGATTATTGTTTATGTTCATTAAAGGTGCAGAAGTCCTCTGGAGGGGCTGGGGGAGAGGCAAGCAACCTTTTGACTCCCTGGCTTGCTCTTCCACATGCTTGCAAATCTCCCTTTTCTGTCCTGTCCATTTCTGCAATTGCTCACAGCCTGTCCTGTTCTAAGCTTCCAATGAGAAGTAGGATTGAGCTGAAGCAGCAAAATCAATGGGAGATGTCAGGTTGGTTTCATCTGGTCAATTTATGGTCTGTGGTCCACAGCTTTTTACTGTTATTCCCAATGTATAAGGTGACCAGATGCATTAGAGGACAAACATTCTTCCTTATGCTTTTTTCTTTCTTTCTTTCTTTCTTTCTTTCTTTCTTTCTTTCTTTCTTTCTTTCTTTTTTTTAGAGTTATACAGGAGCCAATATTTGAGCAGACGCAGCTGTGGTAACTCCTGAAGTACTGCTCATTTATTTTGGATTTATTACATTTGTATATTGCCCTCCCTTCAAGGAGCACCAGGATGCCTGGTTCATCCCCACCCTCCTCAACAGACACGTCATTTTAACCTGCCCTCTGTTATCTCTTGACAATGTGTGGCACAGTGGACCAAAATCTGTGAGACCAGGGTTCAAATCCCCACTCAGCCACAGAGCTCACTGGGTGACTTCAGGCTAGTCACCCTCAGCCTAGCCTACCTCACAGGGATGTTGTAAAGTTTAAATGAGAAGGGGATGAAGTGCGTACACCACCTTGATCTCCTTGAAATAAGGGCTGGATATGAATGTAAATAAATAAAATGGGGCCCCATTGCAAACTTATGAGATGTACTGAGTAGAAGAGAGCAGAGTACCTTAACAGTTTGTAAATCTGCCATATTCAAGGTTATCAGAGGTTGGCAGCATTAGAGACTTGCTAAGGTCTACACCCCAGCAGTGGCTGTTAGCTGCCAACACCTCTCTCCCTGCTCCCAGTACAGCTCTTCCTCCAACTGCTCTTCCTCTCTGTTGAGATGTGCTCAGCTGCCCTCACCAAGAAAAGCAAGGAGAAGAGTCAGCAGCCTCCACTTGCCTTTCTTTCGGCTCAGAGGGAGAGAGAGTGCAAGAGGGCAATGGTGCAAGGAGGTGGGCCCATTCAGGACCAGGACTGGGCACCTGCTGTAAGTCTATGACCTAGCAAGGACCCTACCTCTGGCCATGAAACCGCCAGTTGCAATGCCCTCTCCCCCTGTGCAGCAGCGCAGACTGGCCTAGAAGGAATTGTCTCTGGAGGCAGTAGTGCTTCTGAATACTGGTTGCAGGAATCCTTAGGGAGTGGCAGGAATGCTCTTGTGCTCAGGTAATGCTTGCAGGCTTCCTACAGGCATCTGGTTGACCACCATAAGAACAGGATGCTGGACTAGATGGGCCGTTGGCCTGATCCAATAGGTTCTTCTTATGTTCTTATGCTTGTTGCAGGGGACATGGCGACCAAGATGGGAGCCTGCCTATAACATCTTGCTCAGGAGCCCTGCAAAACCGAAAACCAGCTCTGGGCTTACTTAGAGAGACTGGTCCACTGAAACTAGGCTTGGAAGCAGCATTCTATTGTAGACAGTAGATTTAGACTGCGGTGCATGCTTGATTGCTCTGTGTGTGTGTGTGTGTGTGTGTGTGTGTGTGTGTTGCCTGTTACAGTTTTTCTGGTTTGCAAATACAGTGGTACCTCGGGTTAAGTACTTAATTCATTCTGGAGGTCCGTACTTAACCTGAAACTGTTCTTAACCTGAAGCACCACTTTAGCTAATGGGGCCTCCCACTGCTGCCACACCACTGGAGCACAATTTCTGTTCTCATCCTGAAGCAAAGTTCTTAACCCGAGGTAATATTTCTGGGTTAGCGGAGTCTGTAACCTGAAGCATATGTAACCTGAGGCATATGTAACCCGAGGTACCACTGTAATATGCCCAAAAGAGTTGGTGAAGCAGGGGGTGATCAAGGTCAAATCAAAGGGGAAAAGACAACAGGAGCCAACATAAATGGTTAACCTCGGGTTACATACGCTTCAGGTTACATACGCTTCAGGTTACAGACTCCACTAACCCAGAAATATTACCTCGGGTTAAGAACTTTGCTTCAGGATGAGAACAGAAATTGTGCTCCGGCGGCGTGGCAGCAGCAGGAGGCCCCATTAGCTAAAAGTGGTGCTTCAGGTTAAGAACAGTTTCAGGTTAAGTACGGACCTCCAGAATGAATTAAGTACTTAACCCGAGGTACCACTGAATCTTCCAGCCCTTCCCCATGATGAAATGTAGGAATATAGGTGTGTCTTCCTTCTAGTCAGGATACAAAAGGACAAAAGGTTACAGCATTTCCTGGGTGTAATCTCATATGCCAGGCAGCATCTAAGAGTCTGGAAATAAATCAGGCAGAATTGCATGGTTTCCAGCCCTCCAGCCTAGCCAGACTACCCCAACTGAATATCAGCTACTGGCACATAAGACTGATACCTAGGAAAGACTGCAAGACTTCACCTTTGGCAACTTGGCCCTAACCACGGCCATCATACACCCTGACTGAACAGGGAAAAACCAGCACAGCTTGTGCTCAGCAGCTGGATTTTCTGCTAGGAGGCACAAAGAAGCTGCCATCATTTCCCACTGACCTGCTGTGCTTCATTCCCTCTGTACAACCTTGGCTGGGAGAAATAATCCATGCAGATGGCAGCCCCTGGGGCCGGGTGCAGTTGTGTACACAGCTCTTGATGCACGCCTGGAAGTTTTCATCCCTGGAGGTGGTGAGGACTGGACCAAAAGGGGATTCCCAATGCCTTTTGAACATTTGCAGATCTTCAAGATAAGGAAATTCTAAAGTAGATGTTATTTGTTAGTTCAACTTTGTTTTGTTTTATTTTTCGTGGATGCAGAGTGACCTCTTGTGGTACATCTGCGCCATGTTACATTTTGCACTAAACCTTGCAAAAAATTCTGAGTAAACTGAGGATCGTAGCAAAAAATAATAATAATATTTACTTAATATTAGTGAGTAGCCTTGTCCAATTAATTTGCACGGTAATTGTTCATTTTATTATTATTGCATTATTTATATGCCGTCTTTTCAACAAGTTGCCCAAGATGATGTATATAAAACAAAGGATAAGGAAATACAAAAGCCATATTTGAACATCTGCATCAGTATTTTAAAACCATTAAATCTGGATACTGTTTTTGTCATCTTTGTTTTAAAAAAATGAGTATACTATTTTATCTAAACTGTTAAAAGATTTTATTATTTTTATTTTTATAAAGAGATATATAAACCTTGCTAAATAAATAAAAATGGAATAGCAGCCCATCAGGAAATAAACCAACTTAAAGTATTAGACTTGCAATCCTGATACACACTATTACTCATAATAATGTCCATTGAACTCAGTGGGTCTTCCTTCTGAGTAGGCACACATAGGATTGAGCTGTTAGTGAACTAAAAGTCTTCTCTAAATCACGGTGGGCAGCAAGGCACAAAGGTGGAACTTCTACAACATCAGGGTATCCGCAGAGAACCCTTGTTCCAACAGACCAGCTATCCGAAAGGGGAATGTCCTAGGTCATATCCATCCCTGGTCACCTGGGAGGATTTAACACTTATCCAGAAAGCCAAAGTGCCCAAGAATTCTTGGCCCACTCAGCTATCCACTCCCCACCCCCATGGCAAATTTGAAATGCACATGAAACACTTCCAACAAGGAAGTCTGTCTTCCCCTCCCCCAAAAAACTTTTCCTTCCCTAAAAGGATGCCTAAAAAGGACATAGCAGTCCTAGAACTCCTTCTCACACTTTCCTTGTGTCCCCCCCCCCACAGAGTTTTCACTTTTTCTTCTGAGTTGATTCCATGTTGTACACAAAGTCCTCCTTCTATGAATTCTATCTCCTTCTTCAACATCATAACTCCCACTCCTGGTCACTCACCTGTCTGATAGGATTTCTTAATTCCACGTCAGTGAGTAATTCATCTAGAGCATCTAGGAGTTAATCCCAATATTATCTCTGTTCAACAGAGACAAAAACAGCAGATAATCTCTGCCATTAGTCACCACTTAATTACATCTTTCAGGAGCTCCTGAGAGATGCGGCCGACCTGCAATGGCTCCTCCTCCAGAAGTCTGTGCAGTACATTTTATATTTATCTTTATCTTTCTTTAATTCTTTCTCTTCCCAGGTATGATTCTGATGGACATTTAACCAATGCAACATTTCCAACGGGTGAGGTCAGCAGCTTCCATAGTGACGTAGAAAAACTGATGAGAGTTGAAATCGACACTTCAAACAGAGAGAATGTGATCACAGCTACAAATTTTTCAGCTACCTCAACTATCTACACATTAAAACAAGGTACATTTATTTCCCCCTCACTACACTTGTGTGAACTCTGGCAGTTTCTGCTTGTGAATGCATTTAGGAAAACTCTGCTCATTAGTTTATTGTGGCCTGATATTCTAGTTCCTACTAGATCAAGTTATCTTCAACCTTTTCAGACCCAAGACCCACTTTTAACCCAAACATGCATTTGCGAACCCATTTCTTAATCTTTTACCATGTGTTTGCATGGGGGTCATGCTTCTGTTGTGATCCTCCTTGGATCAGTCCACGATCCGCTAGTGGGTCCTGACCTACCAGTTGAAGACCAGGCTACTAGATTATTGTAACAAGTTAGTAAAAAGAAACTGATCAAACACGTTTAAAATGACGGAACAGCATTTATACATCTATTGATCTTAGTGAGATGTCAGCACACAGCTTGTAACTAATCTTGGCTTCTTTACCCCACAAGGTTGGAAGGTGACCAGTGTAACACATCTCATATATATATATATATATATATATATATATATATATATATATATTACAAACCCATCAGCCTACCATATGTGCCGTTTAAATTATGATAAAGTGTGGCATCTTCATCTTCAGCACCCTAGGATCAACTTGCAGTACTACTGAATGCCACAGCTTGGTACACTTGCAGTAGGGCTATCGTTACACTTTCTTTCATTGCAAATCTGCCCTTCAGATGTGCTAGATTACAATTCCCTTCATCCCTAGCCATTAGCTATGCTGGATGGGGATGATGGGAGTCCAACAACCTCTGGAGGGCCACAGCTTCCCCATGCCACCCATAACTTAATTGCTAGCATCGGCCCAAACTTTAGATACTGGAATATTCAAGAACTGGGGTGGCATTTCCAAGTTGACTCTCCCTCCATCACCCTTTCTATTAAAGAACAAAGCCAAGCTTTATTTCACAGCAACTTCATGCTGCTGGGGTGAAGCAACTATTGAGATGGTCTGCCTTAAGATACTTATGGAGTCAGAAGGATTCCTGGATGCTCTGGGGGATTTCCCAGCTGATATGGCTGGTGCTCCTGTCAAGGCTCCTGTCACAGTGTGGAATGTTTAAATGTCTAGAGCCATTGACACAATGCTCCTGGGTGCCTTCATTGTAGCTGTGGAGCACGTAGGTCACTGTGTTACTCTAGTGACCCGCATGTGATGAAACAGGACAGTCAACAGCTAGAGTGCAGGTGGCATAAATCTTAGTCAGAACCTGAGGAAACACATGTGAGGTAGCATTGCCATGTGAAGAAAGCCTACTGCTCTGCCACCATTGTGTCCACAAGTCACCATTTAGCAGAGTTCTCCTGAGTAGTGAATGGGCTTTTGCAATCAGACCAAAAAAGATTCCTTACCCCTGCTGTAGCTTTTTAGTCACCATGACCACTTGCAGGGACAATGGGAATTGTAGTTCAGCAGTAGCTGGAAGGCTGCAGGTTCTCCAGCCTTGCTTTAGCCAGTGATAACAAATCAGACCGGGTTTTCCATGCCCTAAATCTCAAGGGGACATTCTGCATGCCTAGGAGTTCAGCTCTTGATGTGCAGGAAGGCTGCCATCAGAGAGGGAAGTCCATGTGTAGAGAACCTGCTTTGCATGCAAAAGGACCTGTGTTCAATTTCATGTGGTCATGAAAATCTTGTTTTTATTTTTGAGGGCCTGAAAAATTGTGGACATTTTCTTACGCTAAAAAAAGGGGGGGAGCAATGTGGTATAGTAGTTACAGCAGAAGCTAGGGTTTTGATTTTTTTTCGACCCAAGGGCCACATTTCCAGAGGCCACATGCCCTCTGGGGCTGGTGGCACAAGTGGCTAAGGCAATGAATGTGAATTTTTACATTTGTTTCATGGGCTGGTTTCTACACACACTTGCACACCTCTCTCTGTCCTCCATCTAGGGACATTGTCAGTATTCAAAGACACATTCCAGACAGACAAAAACAATCAGAGAGAGAGTGAAGCAATACCAGTGAGGAGTGTGGCCTAGGGAGAAGGGATGTGGTAGGGGAGAATCCAAAGGGCTGGGGGGGGCACCTTTGGCTCTCAGGCCCTCAGTTCTCAATCTCTGGGTTTGAGTGTCAGATAAGGACCTGGAGGACCAGGGTTCCCCTTCTCCTCAGCCACGAAGCTCACTGTGTGGCCTTTGTCCCCTTCACAGTCTCTCAGCCAACCTACTTCATGTAGGGTTGTTGTTGTTGTTAGGCCCAAATACCATGTGGGGTTTTGAGGGTTTGGCCTCTGTTTGTTTCTTTTTTAGGCCAAAATGGAGAGGGAGAATCACTTTGAGTTCCTTGGAGGAAAGGTAGAATATAATATTATACACCTTTAGGTGCCAGGCAAAAACGTTCCTTTTTAACCAGGCCTTCAGTTGATTTGATTGACACACTGTGTCTTTTTTAAAATGTGGGGTTTTGGCGGGGTAGGGGGTTATTGACTTGTTTTTATTTTGATTATATATTTCGTAGTTTTATACTTTGATTTTGTTCTGTGAACTGCCCTGAGACCTCAGGGTATAGGGCAATGTATAAACTCAATAAATAATAATAACAATAATGCCACAATACATACATACATACATACATACATACGTACATACATACAAGGTAAAGGTACCCCTGCCCGTATGGGCCAGTCGTGTCCGACTCTAGGGTTGTGCGCTCATCTCACTTAAGAGGCCGGGAGCCAGCGCTGTCCGCAGACACCTCCGGGTCACGTGGCCAGCGTGACGAAGCTGCTCTGGCGAGCCAGCACCAGCGCAGCACACGGAAACGCCGTTTACCTTCCCACTATAAAGCGGTACCTATTTATCTACTTGCACTTAGGGGTGCTTTTGAACTGCTAGGTGGGCAGGAGCTGGGACCGAAAGACAGGAGCTCACCCCGCCATGGGGATTCGAACCGCTGACCATACGATCGGCAAGTCCTAGGCACTGAGGTTTTACCCACAGCGCCACCCGCATCCCTACATACATACATACATTTTGCAATATCTATTTCATAGCACATGCAGGCATTTCATTTTAACTCAGATTATTTTCATCTTTCTTACAATGCTCTCAGTTGTTACAACATTAGTACAATTTCCACAGCTGCATTTTAGCTGTTTAATTATACAATCTCCAGTTTTGACTTTAGCTGCATATTAAATTCCCCCCAGGCAACAGGTTTTTCAGTAGCAGCCCAAAGGTAGTAAATAATGAAGTACACCAAAGGCTAACTTAAGGTTCTTAAGTTGAAAGGTCTCTGAAAGCAAAATACCTTTAATCAAGATGAAGGGTGTTGCTAATATGTAAATTTACTAAGGTCTGGGTGTAGTAACAATAAGCTGTATGCCTTAAATGTCTGGGAGGTTGCCGCCGCTCCCAATTACAAAGACTTACAGATGTTGGCAATGCCTACTGCTATCTGACTATGCATAAATATAATCTTTGCACACATAGCAGTTGCTTCATGAAGCTGAAAAAAACTGAACTCTTTCCCCTTCCTTGTTTTGTTGCTGACAGACAACATTCAGAATATATATCGGGTCAGTCCAGATGGGTCACTGAGAGTCACTTTTGCCAGCGGAATGGAGATCACTCTGAACACAGAACCTCACATCCTAGCTGGCGTTGTCAATCCTACTTTAGGAAAATGCAATATCTCTTTACCCGGAGAGCATAACTCCAACCTTATTGAGTGGAGACAAAGGAAGGAACAGACAAAAGGCAATATCTCTGCATTTGAGAGAAGGTTACGGGTAAGGTTTTCATCTCATGTGTCAAATGAAGCATTCTTTGGGAAGGCAATCACATCTGAGAATCACGTTAAGCTGCTGTTATTGTAAATATGCCTGTGCTCTCCTGTCTGCGCTGTCTGACTATTTGTTTTTGTGTCCAATACATGGTGTTGGTGCTGATCTTTCAAGCCCTAAACAGTTTGAGACAGTCTGAAGGATTCCCTGTATTTATATGAACGTGTTAGTGCAGCTGGGGTTACTGCAGTCTGTCACTATTTTGTGGGAGGGATTCAAGTATATATGGTTCATTTAAGGCCAATATGCAATATAAATTCAAAAAGCAGTGTCAGCATACCACATTAAACAATCATGGCTTCCCCTTAGGCTCCAGAGGCACGTTGTTAGTTAAGAAGGCTAAGAGTTATTAGGAGATCCCTATTCCTCTCAGTGAGTTGGAGGGGGGGCATGTTTCTCATCCCATTAACAAACATACAATACAACTGTCCTGGGTCCCCAAGCCACATTATATGGTTTCTTCCAACCTATTGACACACCATATACAGTTTCATGACCTTTCCCTGACCGTTTGTATGTGGAAGAATGATGCCATATTGTAACACCCCGATCTGCTAACATGGGCTGAGGTAATAAGTATGCCCCATTAGAAAATTATATGCATCGAGAGATATTTTATGCCCCAGGGTAGGTGTGTGTGTGTGTTTGTTTGTTTCCAGAAGGAAAATGACAAGTGGCAGCTGACTGAAATTTGTAGACATTGTACAGATGGCAGTGCGAAAATGTCCTAGGAGGACTATCATGTAGGTCTACTTATGTGTAAATTACAGAAGTAAAAGTGGACCGAAATTAAGACCCATGTCTCTTCCCTGGATTACATCCTCCTCGCAGACCACACCCCTCACTCTTCAGGATCCATGAGTGTTTTCACTGGCTGGAATGTGTTCTTGAACTGTGATACTGAGAGGACTGTGTGTAGAAACCTCTGCCCACTGGCGGAGGAAGGGGGTGTGGTGGGTGCAGTCCACCCCAGGTGTCACCCCTGAGGAGGGTGACATTGCCGCCCTGCCCCCCTGGCTCCTCCTGCCTCCGGGTGCACAGCATGTGCGCTTCTCTGGGTGCCAGAGCAGCTGGCTCTGCCTCTGTGTGACTGGAAGGTAGCCTACTTTACAAAGGTACATCCATTGTGCTACCCACTTTTGTCTCCAGCTTCGCTTACTAATGGCATATGGTCCTTGGAAGACTGACGTCAAGGGAATGTGGCCCTCAGACTGAAAAGGGTTCCTCAGCTCTCACATAACAGTATGCCCAGGAATAAGGGCAGGGGAGAATGGACATAATTCACTGGAAATAAAGGGAAGGAGTGGGAAGTGTCATTTTTTGACACCGTTTTTGGAACTAGATAAGAATTAGGGGACATAAAAAGCTTGCCTCTCATTTGAGCTGCCCTTTTATGACAGACCCCCCAAGTTCTTTTCCAAGCCCATCTCCGATTAATTGTGTTGGCATCTCTTGTTCTGTGTTTACACAGAGCTGCTGCCATCACACCCAGTTTGCCTTTATGGCTTGTATTTTAACCAGAGTATTAACAGTTCCCTATGGCAGGTGGTCAATATTTTTCTGTTTAATTAACGGACTTAAGTTTAAGACCCAAAGACATCAATAATGTGCAGGAAAAATGCTTTAGGAAATCTGTTTTCCATTTGACAGAATTACTCCTTTGGGAAGCCTTGATGAGTACAGTGAATGGTTAGCATTCAAGCTAATGGTCTAATGACAACGATCCACGTACATAGTGATTATGATAGATCTGTCAAATCCGAAGGGAGGAGGAAAGAATGGGATGTTCCAGACCTTCCCCATTCCCAGTCTCACTCATTTATTCTTCCCAACTCCTCACCTTATTATTTATTAAATTTATATACCACTCTTCATCTGAAGATTACAGGGTGGTTTACAACATTAACCATCCTCTTTGCAAATCTAGGCCTTCTTTTTCGTTCCCCAAATTGAACACGGCTTCCATGCTCTGAAGAGGAGGCAAGGAACATTGCTTCTCCACAACCAGAAACTGTGTTTGGAATGTTGGTGAGAGAGAAGACATCACAGTCCTTCTCCTTCCACCTTCCAACTAAATCTAGGGACTCAGCTATACAGCTGCAAATAAAATGTTTTAAATGGGTTGTAAACTGCAATATACAAATGTGACACTAAATGGCAACAGTGAGCTATGCCATATTCAATTATTTTTCAAAACCTTTTTTTAAAAAAGCATTTTCACAGTGTTTTTTACATGTGTGTAGTTCCACCTCTTGTTTGAGGCATCTCAGAGTTATCTGATTGGCAACTATGAGGAACAGAATATTGGACTAGATAGAACTTTGGTCCAATCCAGCAGGATTCCATTTTTTCTTACAGCAAGGGGAAAGAGTGATTATGAAAAATGTACCAGCGAATAGATGCACATACTTATCTCAGTGCTTAGAATAAACCAGTTCAGTTTAATGAATTTAACTGAATTAGTTCAATATCTCTGAATTATACCTAAACGTAATTCCCATAATTTCTGACTAAAGTAAACATGGATTAAAATTGTGTAGGTGTAGAAATTTGCTCATGTGTTTTTTCGTCTTTAGACTCTTTGGCCTTCTAAGCTTAAAGATCATAATTTTGGGGTAAAATAGACTACACAATTCACATTCCAGTTTTGAGTGTGTTTTTGTGTTACCTTAGTCTTCTTAAGTACAGTGGTACCTCGGTTTTCAAACGTAATCCGGTCTGGAAGACCATTCAAGTTCCAAAACGTTCGAAAACTCAAAACAGAAGCCTCAAAACAGAAAACTCAATACGGAAGCCATGTTTCCTGTTCAACTTCCAAGGCGCGTTCGAAAACTGAAGGATTTACTTCTGGGTTTACGGTATTCAAGTTCCGAAACATTCATCAACAGAAATGTTCAAAAACCGAGGTACCTCTGTATTTTTTATACTTCAGCACAGCAGCTTATAATATTCTGAGGGCTGAAAAATATTGCCAAGAATCATTTGGATGAACTTGAGTTAGAGCTGTGAACTGAGCTCAAACCAAATTAGTTCATTCTGTAAAGGGAAGAGTGTGAACTAGAATTACCATATTTTTCCGTCTATAAGACGTCCCATGTAAAGACGCCCCCTATTTTGGGAGTCTCAGATTTAAGAAAATGGAGGAGATGGCCCTGTGTATAAGACTCCCCCTAATTTTTGACATTATTTTTTAGGAGGAAAAACCTAGTCTTGTACACGGAAAAATACGGTACTTCCCTTTTGGACACGTTGAACTAGAACTTTTAAAAATGCACTTTCCAAGCTCTGATTTCACCACCACTGACTTTTATTGGGAGTCCTGAAACCCTCTGGTTCCCTTGAGCTTACTGTGAGTGAATGATACCAGTATTTTCAGCACATTAGAATTGGCACTTGAGAGAATGAGCTTACTGTTAACATATAGGATACTGGGTTTGTCATAGTCCAGTCATGATTAGAAAGGGGATCTTTCCCGCAGCAGTGTGAGACATGAAGCCGCCTGAAGCCTGCCACCACCAGGAAGGTGCAACAACCTCCCCCATATCTTCTCTCTCCTCTGCAGGCATTCCTTGAGGCCCTCTGGAGACATCTCAGCCATGCTTCACTCTGAGGGACACAGAGTCTATTCTCAGAGCAAGGCACTATGGGCAAGTTGGACCTGAAGAGCTGTTGTACTGCTACTATTTTTTGCAGTGGAAAATACCATTCAAATTACTGCTCTCTGGGGCTACCTCACCAATAGTACTTTGCTCTGAAAAGGACACTTAGAATGAGGCACAGGTTACTTGAAATACCCTGCAAGAGTCTCAACTCTACTTTCCTGGAGCAGCAAAATGGCAGTGATACACACAGAATCATAGGTGGTGGTGAATGAAGAAAATGATGGGAGGCCACCCACTGCTTGCTATCCATCCCTTCACAGAATGAACCAGTTTCAGTTCACATTTCAGTTCATTGGCAGACATCTGAAGGGTCTACTCATCCCAATCCACTGCCTGAGGATAGACACTCACCTTGACTAATGGCACTTTTAAAGACACAAAATGAGTGCAATCCAGAGGTACATGAGCCTGTCTCCCACTGTTATCAGATGGTCTTTTAACTAGATTAACAGGTTGTTAACTCGCACTGGTTTTCCTACCCACATCCTGGGACTTTTAAGCAAGCTTAAATGTATTCTCTGTGCCCATAACTTTTTAACTTTGCCATTACTATGCAAACTGTGATTTCAGGTGGGGTGGAACAATTTCCTTGCTGTGTTTAGTTATAAAGGGCTCTTCCTTCACCTCTCTTAGCTGCATTTTTAGACCAAGAAGACTTTCAGTGTGGAGAACCTGAGGCCTGGAGGCCAAATGCAGCCCTTTTCATCTCTCTCCCCCCGTCCCTTGGCATACTCATGGTTCCTGGTTCCTGCTCCAATAGCACTTGCCTGGCTGGAATATGTCCTTGAACTCTAGTATTGCTTCTTGCTTCCTTGGAGAGAGGATAGACCGGTGGGGGGTGACTGTGTGTAAAAATTAGCCTATTATTCATAAGTGAAATTCACATCCATTTATCCATGAACGTTTGCCTCTGGCTCTGTCAGTTGCTGCCATGTGGCCCCTGGAAGGCTGCCCAGAAGGGATTGTGGCCCTTTGTCTGAAAAAGGTTCCCAAGCCCTGCTTTATCTCCTCTCCTGGAGGGACAAATACCAGCTTTGGTAGGGCAGATTTGGATTGCGTTGTGATCTTCCCATCTCTGTTCCTCCCATCACAGACATTCCCTTCTGAATTTTTCAGCTTACACTTTCCCTTCACATCATTCAGTGAGCTCCTGTCATTAATCCCTCTTGCGCAGCTGCCTGTGAATGCAGAGCTATCCATCAAACTGGTCCCAGCATGCTGAAACATGAAATTTGGTAGGAACAAGCAATTTTAGCTGCTTTCAGAGGTCCCACGTGGTAGGTAGTAATTTCAGGTTTGCTAACTGCAAGGTTGGTGATAGGGATGGTGCATCCTATCCTGTTCCTGCTGGTGCCTGGTGGAATGTCATTCTGACACCACTCATACTGTAGCCTTAACTTGCAGGTAGGAGATGCCATATGTAGGATTAGCCAAATGTTGTGCCCTCCATTTGTTGTTGTTAGACTACAGCTTCAATCATCCCTGACTATTGGCTATGCTGGCTGCGGCTGATGAGAGTTGGAGTCCATAATAGCTGCATGTTGACTACCCTTTGCATATTGCAAGAACTCGTAGGACTATTGTGGCAGAACAGCTTTCTTCAAAGGCAAGTTGAGGATCAGCAAGAGCAAAATGCATGCAGTACAGTGATCTGTAAAGAAAAGCATATTGTCATTCCATTGCAGCTGCAAGTGTTAAGAGTAGCTCTGACTGGAGTTGTAGTCCACAGCAACTGCACTTATGTCTCCTGATTACACATGTGGTTTCTCATCTACCTAGGGATTCCAGATACTGTATTTTCCACTCTATGGGACGCACCCGACCATAGGACGCACCTTGTTTTAGAGGAAGAGAACAAGGGGGGAAAATTCTCCCCCTCTCTGCGCAGCGCCCCTTCAGCGAAGCGGCAGGAGAAACGGAGCCCCTTCAATTTCTCCTCCCGCTTAGCTGAAGGGGCGCTGCGCCTTAGCCGACCCCTCTCGCTCTCCAGGCTTCAGTGAAGGAAACCTGAAGTCTCCAGAGCGCGGCGGGAACTCCCGCTGCGCTCCAGAGGCTTCAGGCGGCTATCTGGAGAGAGAGAGGGGTCGGGGTGCACCAACCCCTCTCACTCTCTAGGCTTCAGCGAAAGCAACGCGAAGTCTCCGGAGCGCTCCCACTGCGCTTCGGAGGCTTCGTGCTGCTATTGCTGAAGCCAAGGAGCCTGCATTTGCTCCATAAGACGCACACACATTTCCCCTTAATTTTTGGAGGGGAAAATGTGTGTCTTATAGAGCGAAAAATACAGTACATATTTGTTTATTCCATTTGTTGCATTTATTTTGTCCCTCAGTATTTGTTGAGACAATTGCCTATTGTGTTCTCTGTGTGCACAGCAGGCTGGTGAAGAAAGGGATGGGGAAAATTTCCTTAGCAGTGAGAGCAAACCCCTTTGTGCATGCTCAGAAGTGCCCACCCACTTAATACTGAGTGGGGAGGAAACGAGCTGCAGTAGTAGCATAGTGCAGAGAGGAAACTGCTCTGGACAGGCATGAAGGAAATCATCATCATATATTCTAGCATTCAGTACTGTTACGGAAAACAATCATTCACGGCTCATCCACACTATTGGCCTCATGTTTTCTAGGCACAGGTCTGCACTTTAAAGTGGGGTTTCTTTTTGTTTTTGCCCTGGTGCTTTCTTTGTGAAATTCTGATCTTTAATGCAGAATTGGAACAAACAACAATTTGGGTTTTCAGTGAATTGCCATTTTGCCATTTGCTCCATTTCAGTGGTAAAGAGTGGGGAAAGCACCAGGGCAAGAGAAGAAAGTGCTCAGAAACAGTGCTTTAAGACATGGAACTGTGCCTAGAAACACACCACAAAAGGAAGTCTGCATGAGCCCTCAGTTGAGCACCAGTAGGTTTTGGCAAAAAAAAACCAAAACCTGAATCCTGGCTAAGAGAGCAAAGAATGGTCCATTTGCCTATGGCAAAAAAATGGATTGTGGTGTGGATGCTTGTTTACAAAAAGAATTTGCTAGGCTGAGTCCTGGTTGGCCTTGGAGGAAATTCCTAGGTAGTAGAGAGAGGCAAGGAGGAACTGGGGTGGATCTTGTATGTGTGGGGAGGGGAACTGATGGTGTTCTCTGCATAGGGAGTAAGTGATGTGTGTGTATTAGAAAAGAGAGCATTTATGTTTTCAACCTATAAAGCTTTAATAGCTCAAGTCTCCAGTACCTCAAGGACCAACTTCCCCTGTATGAACCTACCTGGAACTGAGATCAGCATCTAAGGCTCTGTGCATACACCCCACACCAGGAGAAGTTTGGAAGATTGCAACAAGAGAACAAGCCTCCTCTTGTGCAGTGACCCATGCTTTCTGTGGGCTACCCTTCCAGCACTGGGCAAATATATATTTATTCTCCCAGGCAATTTGGACAGTGCTAAAGGTCTGGCTTTTGATCATTTATCTTTTAGTGTTCACCTTTATGCAGGTGGGGTGGTTATTTAATGTTGGGTTGGGGCACCTATGGCCCTCCATATATTGGTAGGCTGCAGCTTTCATTGGCTTTAGCCATGCTGGCTGGGGCTGATGGGATTTGTAGTCCAACAACATCTGGAGCACTTCAGCAGGTTCCCCACTGCTGTTTTATATGGTTGGATGATTTTTGTAGATTTGGGTATATGTTTTTAATGGATTGTGAATGTATATTTTGTGTGGTATTGTCCCTGTAAATTGCTTTGGTACACCTTCTGGCAGTGTGAACCAATGCATAAATAAAATATATTGAAAGTGGTGTGACTCATGCTCAGGATCACACCATTCTTTCGCTGCAAAGGTGTAGAAGTGAACAGCTGGCAGTAATCCAGTGAGGGGAAAGCACATGCCTCAAGGCTTCATATTATCCTAGACACTAGACCCCTGGAGAGCTTTGGCCTTGAGAAAATTTATATCTTCCAGAATCAGAATGAAAATGAGAGTGTATGGCAGTGTCAGGTTCTAAGAAACCAAAGTTATGTTACAATGGACTTCAGTGGCCTGCTTCATGAAAGGAAGGGTGCGGCCAGAGATGGGAGGGATGAGGCTACTGGGAATTATTAAATAATCAGGCTTGTTACCATGAGACTGAAACCAGAAGTATCTGTTTGCCAATCTGCCAGTAAATTGAAATATTCATTTGAGGCCCTTGCCTGAGTTTCTTCTGTAAGAATGAGGCAAGATTCCTGAAAGAACATCTGCCCCTGAATAGACCTGAATGATCACTTAGAGCAACTGGGAAAATTCTACTCATTGTGCTGCACCCTATAGAACAGGCATTCCCAAACTCGGCCCTCCAGATGTTTTGGGACTACAACTCCCATCATCCCTAGCTAACAGGACCAGTAGTCAGAGAGCCAGTGTGGTGTAGTGGTTAAGAGCGGTAGTCTTGTAATCTGGGGAACCGGGTTCGCATCTCCTCTCCACATGCAGCTGCTGGGTGACCTTGGGCCAGTCACACTTATTTGAAGTCTCTCAGCCCCACTCACCTCACAGAGTGTTTGTTGTGAGGGAGGAAGGGAAAGGAGAATGTTAGCCGCTTTGAGACTCCTTAAAGGGAGTGAAAGGTGGGATATCAAATCCAAACTCCTTCTTCTTCTTCTTCTTCAGAGGTGATGGAAATTGTAGTCCCAAAACATCTGGAGGGCTGAGTTTGGGGGTGCCTGCTATAGAATATAATAGAGCAGAAACAAACACACACAATTCTGCTATTGCCCCCAAACTGTGAAATGCTCTTTCCTCTGCCATCAGTTACTCCAGACATATTGTAAAGACATACCTTTTAGCACAGGATTCAAGATTTGCCCCTATTTTATTGGCTTCCCAGAATTCCTCTATTTCTTTTTATCTGCTTTTCTATTACCATTTTACTAGTTTTGTGTTTTATTTTTGTTTTAATGATATTGTTTATTGTTTTGATGCTCTACACCACTTAATGTTCTTTCAAATATGTGTGTTGATAGTGAAGAGGGGCATTTTTGGTGGCAGTCCAGCTTTGTTACACCCTCCTGGAGGAAGTAAGACTGGTGTTACTATTATATTGCTTTTGGTTCTGGAATAACACGTTTTTCTTTGCCCAGAGTTTTCAAATTGATTGTACTATCTTAAGTGGTTAGATAATTCATTTATCATATTTTATTATGTTGGTTTAACTATTTGTCTGCCTCCTTGGAGTCCTTATTTTGAATGAAGGCATGGTTTTAAAAAATGCAAAATAAATAAAATGCATATCTTCATCTACAGAATTGCTTCAGTTGAATTTGTGGTGCTGTTCTTGCTTTATAAATTAGGCCCACAACAGAAACCTGCTCTCAATTGATTTTGACCACATCACAAGAACAGGGAAGATCTATGACGACCATCGGAAGTTCACTCTTCGGATTCTCTACGACCAGGCAGGCCGCCCAATCCTTTGGTCTCCCCTCAACAAATACAATGAAGTCAACATCACTTACTCACATTCTGGATTAGTGACCTTTATCCAGAGAGGGACATGGACCGAAAAGATGGAGTACGATCCAGGTGGGAAGATCATTTCCAGAACATGGGCAGATGGAAAAATATGGAGCTACACATACCTAGAAAAGGTGATTCATTTTTGTAAATGGTTTGTGAAGATTGCAGTGTAAATTTGATTATCCACATTTAGAAACTCAGAGAAGCCCCCACTGGGGAGAAAAATAATTGGATTTAATTAGATTATTGTTAATAATAATTACTTGCAAAAATGGCTTCTGAACTGTTTAAAGCACTGTTTCCCAAACTTGGGTCTCCAGCTGATTTCAGACTACAGTTCCCATCATCCCATACCACTGGTCTTGCTAGCTAGGGATGATGGGAATTGTAGTCCAAAAACATCTGGAGTCCCAAGTTTGGGAAACAGTGCTTTAAAGTGTAAAACCAAATATAAATATATATACACACATGTTAAAATACACCCAAAACAATCTCATCAAAACAATAAATACATCCATAAATAAAAATGCACGATAAAACAAGCCCATTAAAACAGCAAAACAATTAAAACAGCAATTAAAACTATCAGATCAGGAGGTCTAAACAGGTGTGCCTTCAATATCCAGCAGAATGTCTGTACAAATATAGGGCCTCTCATATTTCAGCAGAGAGAGCATTGAACACTGATGCAACCCAGAGATGGGGAATCTGGTGTCTTCCAGATGTTGTTGGACTCCAACTCCCAGCCAGCATTGCCAATGCTCAAAGATGATGGAGGTTGTAGTCCAGCAACACCTGGAGGGCCACAGCTTCCCCATCCTTATTCTAGACTAAATAATTTTTATTTTAGATGAAGGATCTAAATTAGCAATAATTGAGGAATTCAATTTCTATGAAATCCAGTGGGAATTGATCTTTCAGACTTACGACATTAAATATCTTTGAGATTTCACATTTCTCCAGTTCTTGCAAAACAGTTGTCAACTGATAAATCTTATCCAAACACAGTAATGCGTGTGTTTTAGAGTAAGATACTTTAGAAATGCATACACTGAGATAAAACAATACTTTACAGTACATGCAGTTTTTCAGGGGAAATTTTTAATCTAAAAATTGGCGCATAGATTGGATGGGATGGACCTTTAAATGAACACATGTGAGACTAGCATGTAACTGTCTATCTCTAGCCCAAACTGAGGGGCCCAAACAGAATATGCTGAACCTGTGGGATCTCATTGACTTTTACACAACTCAAACATCCTCATCATCCTCATTATTAGACATAAGAAGGCCCTGCTGGATCAGGCCATGGCCCATCTAGTCCAGCATCCTGTTCTCACAGTGTGTTGTCAGAGTATATTATGGCTAGCAACCCTCTCCTCCATGAATTTGTCTTAATTCTCTTTCAAATCAAAGCTCTCTACATTAGTGGTCATCATTGCCTCCTCTGGGAACAAGGAATTACTATTACTTACATTTGTTTATTTGTTTCTTTGTTTACATTTCCTCGAAGGAGCACAAGGTGGCATATGTGGTTCTCTTCCCCTTTCTATTTTATCCTCACAACCAGAGAGGTACAGTAAGCTGAGAGCCAGCGACTAGCCCAAAGTCACCCGGTGAGCTTTGCAGGACAAGAACCAGAGTCCTCTGTGTGTTATTCCAACACACTAACCACTATGCCATACTGTCTTGGAGAGGGGTTGTAACACAGTAGTGGAGCATGAGCTTTTGCGGGCAGAAGGTCCCAGATTCATTCCCTGAGATCTCCAATTAAAAGGATTGGGTAACAAAGGATGGAAAAGACTCTTCTCTCTCAGAAAGCCTCTGTCCATTATAGAGTAGGCATTACTGGGCCAGATGGAGAAACAGTCTGCCCAGGTAAAAGTCAGCTTTCTATGTTCCTTTCTATATTAACGTGGAGCTCTCGGGTTTAGAGATGGTTTGAACTTAGGAATACTAGTGAAATGGAGAGGTTTCCTGCTAAGGTCAGGATCCCCCACTAATGAGCAGAAACCACTAATGAGCAGAAAGGCCTAAATGTCTGCTAACAGCTAATGACAGAGAGCCACTGAAAGAGTTGCCTATTGGATTTAAATGGGCCTTGGGTGACATAGTTATGAGTGATGCAAAGATGAAATGTGGCATTTCATCTCCGTATCTGTGTTATCCATCTCTACAGCATGCACTTTAAACTCGGGGGGGGGGGGGTTACATTCCACATTCCAAGGGTTAATGTTCAGTTTTACAATTCTTAAGGTGGCTTTGTGAGCATTAACTTTTCAATATGACAAGCTGCCTCTTGAGGGGCGGGGGGGGACATGCTTGTTAACACATCCCAGAAGATTGACATGGTGAGATTTCAACAACAAAAAATACATTTCTGCAAAAGGAAAAGCAGGGGTGTGTGATTTTTCACCAACCCCATACCACCTCTAGCACCAAAAGGCTCCCAAACCCATGGAGACAGTGCTTTTTTCTGGAGGTACTCAAGGGTACACAGTACCAGCACCCCCCCCCAAATAAAATGTTGAAATTGTGGCGCTTACTGTAACAAGATCATGGTGAGTACCAGCACTTTTTTTCTTTAAAAAGGGGGGGAGCACTGCATGGACCCAACTTTCACAGGCACAAGAGGCTTCAGAAGAAAGGGAGCGTCAGCAAAATATATCCTCCCCACTTCCATTTATGCATCTTCCTCGCTGGAGTGGTACTGTATTCTACAAAGGAAAGCATCACAATACACCTGCTGGCAAGATGACACTTTATGTATCTGATGAAGTAGGCTGTAGTCCAGGAACGTGTATGCTATAATAAATTAGCCTTTAAGATGCTACAAACCCCTTAGTTCTTTTCGCAATACACATCATCTTCATTTTTAGGCTTTTTCAATGCATTGGGGGTTTGATCTAAAGAGCAAAAGAGCAGAAAGAAAATAGCTGCTGGCATTTTTCTGCAAGAGTTTGTGAAGCAGTTTAACAGGTAGCTCAGTCGTTTTCACACTTCCCTTGTGCAAGGGAAGCGGGATCCTTTTTTAGTACAACTTGTTGCCCTTGGTGCTCTAGCACAAAGCGAGAATGTTCTGCATACAAAAGGGTGGTTTTGGATCCACCCCAATGTTCTTCTGAGCTCATGAGTGTTGCTTCATCATGTTCTCCCCCTCCCAACCCAATGGTTTAATCACAGTGTTGGAGAAAGCTTGTACTCACTTTACACATGAAGTAAGCGAATAATGAAATTTATGAGACAAACACTGGCATGGCTACTAGCTTGCTAAAAAGCGGGAAAGAGAGAGGGATTTTTGGTCACCTTCCCAGAGCAATATGCACAGGTATACCACCAAATACTGCTGTGCAAATGACTTGTCAATTTCCATATCCAGAATTTAAAAAATACACACGTTAATACAGGTGTCAAACATTTTGCGTGGGGGTTTTGTTCCTGCCTGCCCCCTCACGTATTGGTGGAGCATATATAAGCCTGCTCCGCCCTGTGACGTATCTGTTCTTCCTTCTTCCGGGTCCAAAAGGACCCGCATGCTGGCAATCGCACATCAGCTGGAAACACCTAAAATTTCTCTGCCTGTACATGAAAGCAAATAGCTGTAGCAACCAAAAACAAAATTACAAATAGCATCAAGCAGTGATGCAATAAAGATTTACTTAGACAACTTATTTCAGGCTGTACAATCTGTTTTTAAGGGCAAGGGAGATAGAATCCTTATAAAATTAATCATGGATCAAAAAGTGTTTGGCTTATTGGCCATCCATTATTTGTGGCCACTACCAATGACCTCCCCTCACTTGGGTCCTCTGGCATACACAGAGGGCTGCAGGGGACAGGACAATGCAGTGACATGTAGAAAGTACAAAATAAGAGCCTTTCTTGTGCCACTCATAGGGTATTCCTGCTACTACTCACTTCTTAAAAACTGCTTATTATAAAACTGGTTGGTGCCCGGGGTCCTGTTCACTAAGGGGTAGAGGCACTTACCTAATGGTAAGCTGGTGTGTGAATTTGTGGATCCCTGAGCCTAATACACATTTCAGATATGAACTCCTCATATTTACACAATTCCAATGATAATAAACCCACTTATTTAAAAGGTTCTTAACAATCTTCCTTCCTGAAACAGATTTTTTTTAAGCATTCACTGTAAAAAATATTTCCAAATGTCTGCTTTGCATTTAATAATTATCAAACAAACAAAAAAATACATATGTGAACATATCCTTCTCTTAAACATGGATTTCCAGAACCCCTTTTAAAATATGTAAGCACCTGAGTAGATTCTGTATTCCCTTTCCTGGTAAAAATAAGTCTTGATAAAGAGATCCCACCACATCCAAAACTACCTATAGGCTCAGTTCGGACATCACATCTAAATGTGGATAAAGTAAAACTATGGTTTGGTGTGATTTCCAAAACTGAGAGCCATGGTTTGTGACTGGCTGGAAAAGACAGAATTAGAAACAATGGTTTGGCATAGGTAAATACCATGGTTTGTGCTGACTATGATATGAGACGATGTCTGAATTAACTAACTGTAGTTAATGGTCACCTCTACCTCCAGAGACTGCTGCACAACAGAGACGGGAGTAAACTTATGAAGCTGAGTGCTGAGAGGATGAAAAAAGAAGGCAGACAAGCAGCCCTAAACCAGGGTCTGCCTGTGGTATGTTTGAAAACTCAAACCATGGTTTGGGTTCCAAACTATAGTTGGTACAAACTATGGTTTGGGATGGTGTCTGACTTGAGCCAACTTGTATTCTATCTGTATTCTGTCTCAGTACGTTTGCGTGCATTTTGTTGAGCTGAAAAGACAGTCCTGAGAGAAGTCCCATTAAGTTTTCTAACAATTGTTCATATATTTGTGTGTGTTTCAGGAATGTGGACAGGAAGGCTCAATTCAGTCATCCCAACTCCCTCCAGTGCCTGGAAGGGACTTAACAGGGACAAACTAATTGTTATAATGAGAGATCTATGATCTCCTGAAATCTCCCCACCACCACTGCCGCCCTATAAACATCCACATGAGGTTTGGATGAGCCAAAAGAAGAGGATTAAGTCTAGGCACACAGACTGGAGCTGCTATTAGTTGCAGAGTGGTAAGCATACAGGTACTATAAAAGGGATCCACATATTTCCTCTCCTCAGCTAATAGCAGCTCCAGGGAGGAGTGTAATCTGCACTGGAAAATCTACACCAGGCAAACACTGCCTAAACCTCCAGTGTCATCACCCTTATCTACTACTTTCTTGTTTGAAGAGAATTACAATATGTCAGGACATCTCATCAGAGGCCTCTCAATTACAGGCACACCCACCCACATGCTTACAGTACGTGTGTTCTACTCACGTGCAACCATGTGTATATATGCGACTCTGGGAAATAAATAAATAGAATCATACCAGGAAATGGCAGGAAAGAACTGGAGAGTTCTTGTGGCTCACAAGGAGATCCTCCCCAGAGCCCAAAGAGGATGTCAATGATGGCTGAGGAAGCCCCAAAGAGACCTGAGGCACAACGGGGCTTCATTTAGGCTGCTCAACCTCCCTGCCCAACAACTGACGTGTAGGGTAGCGCAGAAGCAACACCTTGCCTTCAGCCAGCCCCAGAGCTTCAACTCTAGATATTTTGGTCTGGATTGGAGAGAGCACCACTTCAAGCAATCATCGCTCCATTCCAAATAATTCTGGAAGTTATATTTTGTTAAGGGTGCTGTGAGTTATTAGGAGACTCCAGTTCCTTTCACAGTCTTACAATTCCCAGAGCAGTTTAAAAGCCAATCCTTCATGGGGAATATAGGAATTGTAGCTCTGGGAGGGCAATAGGGGCCCCCTAAGAATTATCAGCATCTTTAACAAACTACAGCTCCCAGAAATCTTTGTGGGAAGCCATGGCTGTTTAGAGTGGTACCGTACTGTTTTAAATGTATGCTTTAAATGTATGCTGTGAATGTTGCCTTTTGCTGGCACTGTTTGTTTCATAACTTTCTACAAGGGCTAGAGACTTACTTTAAGCAAAAGGGATGGGAAGGCACCAGGGAAGGCCTTCACAGGCCCCAGGTTGGGAACCAATGTCATCTTTTGTTGCTTGTTTGGTCTGTGCAGCAAAAGGAGCAAACATGTAAACATTTGGGAGCCAAAAACAGGCCTATAGTTTAGTCTGTCTCTGGGAGCAGCTTCAGACATTTTAGAGAGACGGGATACAACACCCTTGATACACACCACCATCTGCCTCAATGTCTGAAAAGCAAGCTCCATGGATAGTGTTAGCAAAAGCTTTCCCCACATGCACCGCTTGAACATTCCTGATGCACCCGATTCATTGACAGATGCTGCAGCAGTGGTGTACTAAGAGTCACTTTGAAGCCTCTTAAACCAGCCAGTTTTACTTGGAAAGGGAATGAATTAGGAATGCTCAGTGTCTTACAGGATCAAGAAGCCACTAGAGCTTGTTCAAATGAAATGAAGAGGAGGATCGATACCTATTTTGCTGCTCTGTGCTCATGATACAAACTCACCTTTTGATGACTTTCTGAAACCTGAGTGGTTTTATGTTGCTTTCATTGGTACACGTAACTAGTCATGGGATTCCTTAATTAGATTTTTTAAAAAGTTATAACTCGTTTGCAAGTAGGGTTAGGTGAAAAATTCGATTCCGTTCACATTTAACAGTGAATCTCCCTAATTCACACTTCTCCACATTCACAAGCCAAAGCACAACCAGCCTTCAAAGTTCATACTTCTCTGAATTTTGCAATGCACCTTCTACAGCTGAGTAATGCATACAAAAATGCATAGACTGTGGTAAATATATATATTTGTGAAAATGACATACAAAAATACATTATATTGGGAGAAATAGCCCTTCAAAAAGGTGTGTATTAGGAGATACTTGCACTAAAACGCTGACAAATTTTCATTACGACTTTGTGTGTGTGTGTGTGTGAGCGTGCGTGCGTGCGTGAGAATTTTTTTGGAAAACTGAGCCCAATATCAGAAAAATGGGAAACTGAGAGTGACCAAAATCAACAGATTTGCCACCATTGCTTGCAAGTCATTGTGCTTGTTGTTTCTGTGTTTTTCCTTTCAGTCTGTGATGCTTCTCCTGCATAGTCAGCGTCGTTACATCTTTGAGTATGACCAGTCAGACTACCTACTATCTGTCACCATGCCAAGTATGGTACGCCACAGCTTTCAGACAATGCTGTCTGTTGGATACTTCCGCAATCTCTATTCCCCACCAGACAGCAGTGCATCTTTCATCCAGGACTTCACCAGAGACGGACGACTTCTGCAGACCCTCTACCCGGGTACAGGGCGCAGGGTTCTTTACAAATACACCAAGCAGTCCAGACTGTCAGAGATTCTTTATGACACCACCCAAGTCTCCTTTACTTATGAAGAGTCATCAGGTGTTATTAAAACAATACACTTGATGCATGATGGATTTATTTGCACCATCAGATACAGGCAAACAGGTAGGCTGAAACTGTATATTATTATTTGGGCTGTGCTTGTGTCATATATTTGTGGTATATATTAGTCATTTCACTGCACAGTTAAAAATGCAATACCATAAGGTTTTTTTAAAAAAATAATAATAATATTGCGATGACCTTTAGCCCATTTAGTATGGGAGCATGGCATAATGGCTGCCACAACTGAAAGAGAAGGGAAAAAATGGGACCACAAAATGGTAGCAACCACTCCATCATGGGGAAAAGGAACCTACAGCAGTCACCACCATGTTTAGTGACAGGGAAGCTGCTTTTGCCTCTGTTAATAGATTGGAGGGTGGATATCCAACCCTGCATTTCAGTGGAATGTGGGTATATTAAGAGGGAGGGGGTTGTTCATTGTAGAAAAGGCCAAGCCAGCATAAATAAGAACTGAGCAGAAAGAGCTGGCCACTCACCAGTGGTAGATTTTTGACAGGATATTGACTGAGGTACTTTTACAGGTGCCATAGGAGGTACTGGCAACCACACTGGGGCTTGTGGACATCATATTGATGACCCCAGTATAGCTAGTCCTTCAGGCAGTCTTGTTTTATTATTACATCATTATTACTATTATTTACTTTTCTGCTGTTTTCCTTCTCCTTAAACAATTGCCCAATGTTTTATATGTAGGTCCACTTATTGGCCGCCAGATATTCAGATTTAGTGAAGAAGGTCTTGTGAACGCCAGATTTGACTACAGCTACAACAACTTTAGAGTAACCAGTATGCAGGCCATGATAAATGAAACCCCTCTCCCTATTGATCTGTATCGCTACGTTGATGTGTCTGGTAAAACTGAACAATTCGGAAAGTTCAGCGTAATCAATTACGACTTAAACCAAGTTATAACTACCACTGCTATGAAGCATACCAAATTTTTTAGTGCCAATGGCCAAGTGATTGAAGTGCAATACGAAATCCTTAAATCCATTGCCTACTGGATGACCGTTCAGTATGACAACATGGGCCGCATGGTGATTTGCGACATCCGAGTTGGAGTCGATGCAAACATAACAAGATACTCTTATGAATATGATGCTGATAGCCAACTTCAAACTGTGTCTGTGAATGACAAAACCCAGTGGCGTTACAGCTATGACCTCAATGGAAATATCAATTTACTTAGCCACGGAAACAGCGCTCGGCTTACTCCTCTGAGGTACGATCTCAGAGATCGTATCACAAGGCTGGGGGACATTCAGTACAAAATGGACGAGGATGGTTTCCTCAAACAAAGAGGAAATGACATCTTTGAGTACACCTCTAATGGCTTTCTGAACAGAGCCTACAACAGGGTTTCTGGGTGGACAATCCAGTATTGCTACGATGGGCTGGGGCGAAGGGTGGCCAGCAAATCAAGTTCAGGACAACACCTCCAATTCTTCTACGCGGACCTTTCCAATCCAGTAAGAGTTACTCACTTATACAATCACAGCAGTTCAGAAATAACTTCCTTGTATTACGACCTTCAGGGTCACCTAATAGCCATGGAATTAAGCAGTGGAGAAGAATATTACGTTGCCTGTGACAACACTGGCACACCTTTAGCTATCTTCAGCAGTCGAGGTCAAGTGATAAAAGAAATTCTTTACACCCCTTATGGAGAGATCTATCAGGACACAAATTCAGATTTTGAGCTCATTATAGGTTTCCATGGAGGGTTGTATGATTCACTCACTAAACTGGTGCACTTGGGGCAAAGAGATTATGACGTCATCGCTGGGCGCTGGACAACACCAAACCACCATATCTGGGAAGAACTGAAGAACAACCCCAAGCCATTTAATCTGTATGCATTTGAAAATAATTATCCAGCTGGCAGAATTCAAGATGTGGCTAAATACACAACAGGTAAAGCATTTATTTAATTGGGTTGTGGGGGAGGGTAGTTTCTGGTTCAAATTTTAATGACAGGAGTGCGTAACCTAAGGCCCAGGAGCTAAAGAGGATCCTCTAAACCTCTCTGTATGGCCTTTGGAACTCTCTGCAGAACACGCAAACCACTGAGCCTGTTTCATGCACAGAAGTTCAAGGTGTTACCATATTTTTCGCCCATAGGACACACTTTCCCCCCTCCAAAAATGAAGGGGAAATGTGTGTGCGTCCTATGGGGCGAATGCAGGCTTTCGTTGAAGCCTGGAGAGCGAGAGGGGTCAGTGCGCACCGGCCCCTCTCGCTCTCCAGGCTTTGGGCAGCTCTCTGGAAGCCTGGGGAAACCGGCGGGAAGTCGCACTGGTCTCCCACGGCATGTGGAGAGCTACCTGCATCCCAAAGCGCGCCCCGGGCTTTGGGCAGATATCTGCAAGCCTGGGGAGACCGGCGCAACTTCCCGCCGGGCTCCCTAGGCTTGTGGATAGCAGCCTGTTCTGGATGCCCCCCCAGCCCCGCGCCTGGGAGGAAAATAATTTTTTTTCTTTATTTCCCCCCCCAAAAAACTAGGTGCACCCTATGGGGCGAAAAATACGGTACTTTTAGTATATGACAACTTGGGACCACTTTACCTACAAGATCACTTTACCCCACATGTATCCACTCAACCACCTGGATTGGTGGCATTGGCACTGCTGCAAGTGCCACTTAATGCTCATTCCGCATTTGTAAGAACTCAGTTGTTTCGTGCGGTGCCACCTGTACTTTGGAACTCCCTGCCTCTTGAGACCAAGCAGGCACCTCCACTTTACTCTTTTCGGCGCCTGCTAAAAACATTCTTGCTAGCCTGTCCAGATGCTTCGAAAGTTGAGGTCATTTTATAATCTGCTTTAGTTTTAGGTTTGTTTGTTTTTCCTTTTGCATGTTTTAAAGTAGGGCTGTAATTTATTATTATTATTTTTTGCTGTCTTTTTTTGTAAACGGCTTCTTACAATCAAACGGTTTTCTTTAAATTTTATGAAATAAATAATAAATAATGAAAGTATTTTTGCCTGACTAGAATATGTCCTTGAACTCTTACAAAGTCTCTAGTCCGCCTGGATATAGCTAGGAAAGGGGTGTGAGAGAAAGAGTGTGTGAAAACTACCTTAGTGTAAAAAGGTAAAGGGACCCCTGACCATTAGGTCCAGTTGTGGCCGACTCTGGGGTTGTGGTGCTCATCTCGCTTTCTGGGCCGAGGGAGCCAGTGTACAGCTTCCGGGTCATGTGGCCAGCATGACTAAGCCGCTTCTGGCGAACCAGAGCAGCGCACGGAAACGCCGTTTACCTTCCCACTGGAGCGGAACCTATTTATTTACTTGCACTTTGATGTGCTTTCGAACTGCTAGGTTGGCAGGAGCAGGGACTGAGCAATAGGAGCTCACCCCGTCGCGGGGATTCGAACAGCCGACCTTCTGATCAGCAAGCCCTAGGCTCTGTGGTTTAACCCACAGTGCCACCCAATGTAAATGTTACCTCTGTTGCTCTGCCCACTTTTGCCTCTGGCCCTGTCCAGGCCTGACATGTGGTCCCTGGAATGGAACACTTCCCTCAGGCTAGAAAAGGCTCCCCAGTGCTTTTATGACAGTGGATCTTGTGAATATGTTCAGACAATTTCTGTAAACAGTTTCATTGGATCTCTGATTAATTTTGAAACAAAATGAATTAAGAAATCAGTCAATTTAATTTGTATAGCCAGAGGCCTTTAACAATGAACAGCAGGGGGCAAGAGCAAGGCTTTCCTCTGAAATCACACAACACAAACTATAAAAGATTACAGCACAAAAAATTACTGCATAAAAGTTTTAAAACTAGAAATCATTAACATAGCTGGAATGGAGCTTCTTATACCACCTTTCCTTCCAGGTTTTTTTTTTATTAAACTTTTAATTGAATTTTTGTTACATGCAAAAACATGTAGATACCGGAAAAGAAGGTAAGGGGGGAGCAGAAAAATGAAAAAAGCAATGCAGCGTTGCAGAATGAAATATCAACAGCAAACCAGTATACCAAACTAAAGTCATATTTCACTGAATATCCCAGGTATTTAAGGCAGTATGCAGGCATGTTCTTCCCCATTTTATTGCCTACCTGGGGGAAGACCAGGGGTTCCCAAACTGTGGTCCATAATCTTCATTCAGGTGGTTTGTGGTTCAGGATGGGAAATGGGAAATCCAGTGCATTAAATACTCATATTGATCATATTGCTTCTTTTCTTTCTTAAATCAGGTTTTACTGTATTGCAATTTGAATTTTATGGAATTGCAGTTGCTATAGCAGGCAGAAAAATCAATCCAGTTCATACAATTCGTATTTTCCATCCAGAATGGAAACCAATCCCGTTTATACAATTCATATTTTCCAGCTCCTAGGGGCCATGGGGGCTTTAGCCCCCCACAGTAAACATTTGAGGGGTCTGGGCCCCCACAATATTAATGGACATTCCTTTTCAAATGGTGCGTATGCACTGCGTCATATAATTGATTATGCAGGGTGGTGCTTACCTGGACCCCACAATATTTTTTTTCAAGTTTCACCCTTGTTTGCTGCTGTTGTTTTCAATCTGCAAGTGATACGTAATCGATTACATTCCTGGCCCCCATTTGCATTGAAATGAATGGTGTGGAATAACAGAATTATTGTGTAATATATTACATAAAATTCCAGAACAGCAGACAGGGAGATGAATAAGGTAGTTTTGGTCAGAGCTGGGCAGTGCGATGGAAACAGAATTGCTTCCACCAAATGCAGGTTGCCGCCTACATTTTTTATCCTGTACCTGTCACTCCACTTCTCTCATGATACAGCTCTATGTGACCTAACATGAAAGTTACATGAAAATGTAACACATCTTTCAACAGCCACTTTTCAAGAATTAAATGAAAGCAACTTCAGGAGCAGGTGATTTGATGTGGAGAATCAGCAGTGGAAGAGTGTGCCTGACCACTCCTTGCCACCAATTTTCCCACTTCAGATTGCTGCTAACAAGCTGCTTCCCTCCCTCTCCCCTGAGCTTCCAGATACATGCTTATCCTTGCAAGCCATCTATGTAGAAAAGGGTTAAGCACCTCTTCTCCCCACTGTTATTTTTCCATTCAAAATTACTCTTTTTTGGGTTGCTCATTTATAAAAAATATTTATAGACTGCTATTTCATAAAAATAAAGCAAAACAATTTAAAATAAAAATGCATAAAACCATACAGTAAAAACATATAGAAAAGTTAAAAACAGACATCAATTAACCATTGTGGAAATATACATATGCCTGCATAGACGTAGTGGAATGGAAAAGTTTTCAGCAGGCGTTTAAAACACATATGACCTTATATTTGTACACGGCCACAAGTTGCAATATAATTCCAGATATCATTCCGCTATGGGAAATGCAACACTTCTGAATATTCCACCCTGTCACCTTGTCTACAGCACATTTTGATTCATATCTGAGCAGCCAAAGAAGGAAGAGGCTTGGAATATTATTCTTTAAGACTTGAATCTCTTTTTTCTATAGTTGTAGGGTTTCAAAAAGTGAAAATCCGGACACAAAAGTGGTTGAACTTTTTTGTAGCCAAAAGTTGTAGCCAAAGTTGCAAAAATCTCAACCTAGCTTTTTTAAAGGAAATTCACCCAAATCTACACCGCCAACATGGGTTGCCATATATCCGGATTTTCCCAGACATGTAAGGCGCTGTTTACGAGGGCCAAATCCCGGCTGTGTCCAGGAAATTCCAGACGTATGGCAGCCCTATTTGTTTTTTCTATGATTGTCATACAGTACTTCTTGACTTCAGCATGTTAATCGTATTCTGTTTGGTTTTATTTGTAGACATTGGAAGTTGGCTTGAGTTGTTTTGGGTTTCAGCTTCACAATGTACTCCCGGGATTCCCAAAGCCAGAAGTGGATGCTATGGAGACAACATATGAACTTGTACAGCTTCAAACAAAGACCCAAGAGTGGGACCCTGGAAAGGTTAGCAAAAAGACACATTCCTGCATTATGTGAATTCTAGGGGGGAAACAGGATACATATTTATTTTCCTCTTTCCTCACCCCACCCTTGGTGTTTATGTTGGTGGGCAGGGGTGCAGGCTCCCCATGATCCAAGGTGCCCCAGGCACCATCAGGGGCAAAACATTTTCCTCCCTTAAGCTCCACAATCTCATACAGTGGTACCTCTGGTTACGTAATTAATTCATTCCGGAGGTCTGTTCTTAACCTGAAACTGTTCTTAAACCTGAAGCACCACTTTAGCTAATGGGGCCTCTTGCTGCTGCCACGCCGCCGGGGCACAATTTCTGTTCTCATCCTGAAGCAAAGTTCTTAACCTGAGGTACTATTTCTGGGTTAGCGGAGTCTGTAACCTGAAGCGTATGTAACCCGAGGTACCACTGTAGTAACTTTATTATGTCACTTACTCTAAAACAGATATATCCTAGTTCTGTAACCTATGGGATCACTTTATTCTCCATTCAGAGGGAAGAGAAGACAAGGACCTCTGCTGACAGCCTTTTTTATTAAGCATCCATCCTGATTTGTTTGCACAAAATAATATGGATGTTATTTGATTTCCACTGTTTATTGAGCATTCATTCTGATTTGAGCTCTAGAAGGCTCTGGAATGCTCTCATCAGATCTTGCGGGGGGGGGGGGGAGGATTGTCTTGTGAAATCTTGCAGCAGCATCTCAATGCCACCATGCTGAGCGGGCCTTCCCCTTCCCCTCCCACCCCCCAAGCAAGGTGGAGAGCTTAAAAGCTCTTTTCATGATGGGTAACCCAGTGTGAAAAGAACTTTCGAGCTTTCTGCCTTGCTTGGGGCACAAGGCATGGTGCTCAGCACCAGTGACGTAGCGTGGGGGGTGCAGGGGGGGCGGCCGCACCGGGCGCAACATCTGGGGGTTAGGGTTAGGGGGCGCAAATCCACGGGTTAGGAGGCGCAAATCC